TTCTACAGCAGAGCGACGTCAGTCTTGAAACAGCTTCACAAAAGCACCCCACAGCCATGTCCGACAAGGAATTGTGTTGGCAAATTTAATGTCGCGTGTTCGAAAGGTAAAATAACACCACGGCCCGCAAAGTGCCAATCGCGTAATAAGTATGTCAGCAGCCTTGAAATCAACAAAGTGTTTGCTTGTCGACGCACACAAAGTGCGCGATTTTTCCTCATAATGATGTATATTGGCCCAGTTGGTACTCTCCTACTTCCAAAAATTATTGTGATTTACGCCACAGGGCAACCCCATCTCGCTGAGTTGGAGACCAATCGGGATGTACCAATAACGTACAACGACATCACAATGCAGTTTTACCTAGAATGCCGCAATTTTCCACTGCCAGCTCCCAAACTTAACAGACTGCAGGCGCTAACCCTACGCCCATTACAAACCCACGCGTAACCATACCTTGCCAAGGTTTACGTTTACTATCCCTACGCGTACTCTAGCGAAACGTGCCCCCCGTGTCGACACTCAGCAACACATGCGCACATGCTCTGAGAGTGTGTAAACACTCCTTCCAACTATACCTCAAACAAGTGGGAGATGTTCCTCAGAAGCTCACTTCTCGCCTACCAGCAATGGGACGTCCAGCAGGCCCACGAAGCGGCTGCCAGGTACTCCCTGTCGGTTCCCACGTGGGAGACACCTGATATGCGCTAATCGCATCCTGCAGTACAAAAAAAAAACGTTTTTTTCCATTCAATTGCGGCGCACTTAGTCCACCTGGGGCGTTGCGTGCCCCTGTAACTATGCGCGAAAGATGTAGATGAAAATTGTGAGGCGGTTTTCTTCTAAAAGAGCCAAATGCCAACACCAAAACTAGGTTAAATTTCAGTGGAACGTAAAGTATGTCTAAGTATCTTCAACGTCTCCAACAGTTATAATTGAAATCGGGCAATTCTTTATAATAAATTGAGTTCGAAAAGGCAGTTTGTAATAAAGAATGAGCCAAGTACTCCAACTATTTCAATCAAAATGAGCCAGATGCAGTAAACCAGCACTACGCCAACAAACATGGTCCAAACAAAGAACATGGTCATACCCGAACTGTTTCATTTGTGTCTTAGTTACTTTTTTATCGTGTTTACGTTCTACAATTACGTTTTCTAGCGGGCGTTGGCACTTACAGAAGGACATGATGTTTAACGACAAAACTCGATGGTAAAAAGTAAGAGGCTGACTTGCCTAGTTCTTTTTGCATCTTAGTAATTCTTTTGAACTTTAGCGCAACAGCATCTTGTCCTCAGCTCGCTACAACATGGTATTTTTGAACTAAAGTAGGCATGAAATAAAGATATCTGCCGTATATCTATTACCTGAAGTAGAAGTGGTCAGAAATGGCATAGCATACAACTAACTAAAACACTTTTTAAGGTCTTCAATTGATGCCAGGAACAAGAAAAACACTGACGACAGTCTAGAATAGGGCCCCTTTTGCCAGGAAAGAATACTCGCTGTTAAAATTTGGTAATGGTCATTGCGATCATGCGTCGAAGCATGGTAGCGACGGAAGCACAAGTATGATGTCAATTTTATCGCGAAATATAACTACACCGTAAATTCGAACCGTCTTACACTTACTTCACGAGAAAATTGATGTCCAAATGAAACGTTGTATTGTATATGAGCCAAGCACAAACTTTACTCCACACTACTGACAATATTTGGCTATGTAGATTTTACCCACAATATAGGTTTGTGGTTTTTAAGGGGGAGGAACATACTGGCAAAAAGTTGTTTGAGCAGGCCCAACCATACTGTCAGTAGAAAAAAAAGCTTTTTCTCAGTTTCATTCAAGGTGTATTTGGCTCTTTCAGAAAAAAAGAAACGCCTCATGTCGATTCTAGCCATCTGGCTTACAGTCACCCTGAGGGATTGGCCAAAAATTGGGTCGCTTAAAAAATTATTGAAATACTACGAAAAATACTTCGTTGCGACAAATATGAGGTGTGTGCTGTAGCGCGAGTGCGGCGTAGTTGGTGTTTTCCAGCAGTACTCGCTAAGAGTGTTTAATGCGGGTTCTAGAAAAGACGCTCCACAAGCTTTCGCTGAGAATGTGTTGTGTCTTCTGCTGAGGCCTAACGAGTTTTTGTTGCGTCTATAGGATCGAACACATTGGACGATTTTTCCATCTCGCCCAACAGTGCACTGCCTCTGTGGTCGGCTCAGCTCTCACCGTGTAATGATATCGCATGACTCCGTGGGAGTGTGATAAATTTCAGTGATTTGTCACGTCCTGAGGACTTCATCAAGGCGTGATCCCTCAATACGTGGATTTTTGCATCGTTCGTGGGGACCCCGTCACCGACAGTCACTTTTCTTTTTTACAGCGAAAGCTTTTATGAGATCACTTTTCGGGTCACGCGCAGTTGCCTTCCGCCACCGCCGCCAGTGTCCGTAACCATATTGCGCAAAATAGGAAAAAAAACTTTGCACCAATGACGCACTGGGGCTTGAGCCCGGGTCCGCTGGGTGCCAGCCCAATATTCTACCACTGAGTTACGCCGGTGCTTGTAACTTGTTGTCAAACTTGCTTTAGGCAGGCATGACAGAGCACCGTTGACATAGTAGGGCTCTAGCCCGGGTCCGCTGGGTGCCAGCCCAGTATTCTACCACTGAGCTACACCGGTGCTTGTGACCTGTTGTCAAACTTGTCTTAGACAGGCTTGATGTCGGGAAAGCAATCGCGTTATTACGACTTATAAAACGTTTTACAACAACGAAAGAACAACCAGTCGTCGCACAGTGCAAATAGCGTAACGAGTGGACCGTCCAATGCTGCAAACTACCGCGAAAGCTTGTTCTTGTTCTCCTATTAACTGTGGCGCATACTCACTTCAGCCATAACTCCTCATTGTCGTCAGCCACTGCATGGACAATTGGCATAAATCTCCATGCAAGTGTTTAGCGGATACCATGCTACTCAGAACATGACCAAAATAGCAAAGCGAATGCCGGCATACTACCCAAAAGTTTATCATTGATGCCCTAGTGAGTACCAATCAAGTGTGCTTGCAGTATTTACCAAATGAGTGCTTTGAAAAGGCTCTGGAGGCCGCTCTTCTAGCTTTCGCTGTGACTGTGCTGCGCCTACCGCACAGGCCTTGCGTTTCATTGATGATCCATTTTAGTCCTTATGCATTTGCCTGAAAGTACTCGAACGTGAAAGCCATTGTCCGCTTTTTTATTCTCGGTCAATTGTATTGAGTATGTTTATGTGCTTTAGATGCCTGCAATGCTAATACTGTGAGCGTTTTTATGAATATTCAGAAGACTCTGAATGAATTAAATAGTTCCACAGCGCAATATCGTTTTCGTGGAGACAAATAGTTCAGATTACGCAGACAATGAGAAATTCGCAAACTCACAAGTATGATATGAAAATTACGTTGCAAAAGTCCTGTCTTGAGAAAGCGGTATTTACATCTTTACCACGCGTGCAATGCAGTCTCAGACAGTCTCGCTGTTCACCATAAGCGTTGCCAACTCAGAACGAGCTGAATGTTTTTTTGTTTTTTCTTTCTGACGAGACCTATTACTTTATAACGATATGGTTGTCACAGAAAATGGGGTGTTATGGATTTCGGGGTGTCACATCATAACTTTTTCACTTCTACATACATGATAGAGTTCAATTTACCGTATCAGGCGTTCACAAATCACGTTTGACGCGCATCTCTTATGGAGTACCACAAGGCAGCATTTTAGGGCCAATACTTTTCTTCTTTTACATTAACGATATCATATAAATAAACACCACTTATCAGTTCATCATTTACGCTGGTGATTGCACCATATTTTTCAAAGGCCAATAGCTCAGCAGTATTCAAGCTGGCGCAAGCACGAACTGCTCGAAGCTGAATGACTGGTGTAAGACGAACAGCCTTGTATTGAATGAGGCAAAGCTAAGCGCGTTGTATACATATTATGCTCGCGGAACGCTGACTGTGGCACCTGAGAAGCTTGTACTAGGTCCATTCCCTGTTCGCTTTGAAAGACGCGTCAAAATACTTGGTGAAATCTTTACATGTCACGTGATGGCCAAGTAAACACGGTTGCGTTGAAATTGGGTAAGTGAAGTAATTAGCCACCTAATGTGAAAAGATTACGTTATGACGCACTTTTTAATTACCACCTAAGCTACTGCTGCTTGGTATGGGGTAAAACTACAGCTTTTAACATGTCAAAACTGAGCATGTTACAAAAAAAAATGGTTCAAATGATTACAAATGTTCCCCTTCACAGAGCCCCTCTTTTCGAACAATATAAATTTGTCAAAATTTCAGATCTTTATATTTTCAAAATGCTCTGCTGCTACAAAACACCAGCTCTCAGGAAATCAGACACATCTTTGAAACTCGCGAACTTTAAACAAAATGAAATTGTTTACCGCGTCCAATGTCAACCCCCTCGGCACGTTCCGTTCTCACGCACACACTATGAAACGCGACGTATCCAATACACCGTCCCAACAACATTAAACTGTTTCGAAGTGCAAGAAACAAATGTTTCACTCAACACACACATGCAAAATAAATAAGTGGGCTGTTCACGAAACTACTCAAATTTGCTTTTTTTTGTAAAGTAGAGTACACGTGTTTTAAAAATTATATTCCTTTCCCATTGGTTACTCATGTACTATTCAAGTATATCAATGTCTATTAAATGTGCATGCATAGCAGCAATAATCTGCCAATTGTACATTGTAACGCATACTTGAAGTGTTTAGCATTTCTCCTAGCCTTTTTTCTTTTTTTATTATCTAAGATTGCGAGCTGTGCCCTCTCGTTTAATCACCTTGCGTGGCTGGATCTTTTTCAAGCTGTCACTGGACAGCTTTTTTTCCGGCCACCTTTTTCACCATAAATGTTTGTTTTTTGGTTGTTTGATTGGTTAAATAAATGACTGATAGATTTATTGATTGATTGATTTATTTATTGATCTTGCAGATTCTATGGAAGTGTCAGCTGTAGTTAACCATCGCCCACTCCGGAACTACACCAAACAACACAAGCCCAACGTGACTTCGGATTTTTCCGCCACCAGTCTCACTTGTGAGTAGTGAAGCTTACGCTTCTTTTTGATCTTGTAGTGTATTGCGTGGGCACATAAACCAGTATATGGCAGAAAACGTGAAAGAAAAGCAGCCAAATATTTCTGAATTATCCTCAGACCTTACGAACCCACCATCTGTTCAAGGCATCATTGAGAAATCCCCTTTTTTGATAATATTTATCACACTCTTCTTTTCGGGGCAAAAGCACTTATAGAGTCGCATGTAGTGGTTTGCATGCCCAAATTCGTTGCCCTGAGCACACAATGCAAAAGTGACCCTCACTCTTAACAACCGAGCAAAAGTTCAGGCTGGTCGTGTTCTCATTCTATGCAGTAGTGTTGGCTCGGCCTTGCTAAATCATTTTGTGATGCCGGGCTCATTTGGTGAATTCCGCAAAGAGCACTGGCGGCAGCAAACTGTATCTTACGGTGGTTGCTGATTCATAGGTGCTCTCGCTGCCGGTTGTCTTGAAGTATCATTTAGTGGCAAGGGCATCTGCTTTCTTGTTGTCATGCACTTACATCAACGTGAGGAGGTATTCACTGAACTATTATCTTGTTTATAGGGAAAACGACACAAACATCACAAGACATGCTTCGGAACAAAATTCGCTTCATAGCCTACTCCCGCAGGCGCGTTATAAACCACTTATTCGAAAGGCGCATAACATCGATTAGTTTGCCTGTATACATCTACGGCTATGCGGATTTACATTAGTGACTCTGTGAGACTTATACTTGCTCATTAAAAATCATCGAGCATGATGTTTGACAGGAGTCAGTGTTTTGACAGGCGGTATTGTTTTTTTGAAGATGGCTACTGACAAACTCCAGAGTTAGCCAGCTGAATTTTGACGAAGGCCACTTATCAAAGTGTTGCCTGAAGCGGCATCCCGCATTCAAGGATTATTCATCCTTTCATACTTCCACGTTCCCCTGACCTTTTGCCGTAAAGTTGCTTATCTTACACAATTTCTCAATTGTGGTGACACTACAAACTACATTATGAAGCGCGTGCATTGCACACTCTTGGATGGACCATCACTGAATGTTTTGCCACCAGTGCACGTTTGTTCGTATCTATTGCTCTTTTACGATGTCCTTGACAATTCGACTACCGGTGGGCGAGGCGCCTTCCTTCCGTAAGAGGGAATGCAAAGAACTCTTGAAGCGATTTTCAGAGAGAGCATCTAATGAACGGGGTGGCAGTAATACAGACGAATTCCTGTATCGTCGTTGGAAATTTCAACACGGATTTGTATACGACCTATATCGTTGGAGTCCTAAGGCTTATCTGTGGAGTGTATGCTACTGTAATTTTCTACCAGGTGAGAGAATCAGGTCAGGCTGTTGAGGGCCGATTTCATACGTACTGACCGTAGCGCGAGTTTTGAACTCATGTCTGCGAGTGCTCAAGGAAATAGTGTGTTTCTGTGCTTCTTTCTGGGCAAGCAGCTTTTTTCTAGGCAAACAGCTTGAATGTGTTAGCGAAATGATTCGTCCGATCGCACAGTACCATTCGTTCAAAAACCATGGTACCAAGGCCTGACATACAGTCAGTCGGTGCCTACAACTGTACCCCTGTTAAAATGCTGGTTTTACAGCTTCACAATTTTTTCTGTTGCTTTTTTTCTAATACCATTTCAATACCGAGAGTACTGTTTTAAAAGCGCCATATATTTTCCAACATACCATAGTAACATCACCTCGATGGCCTTGTTAACAATCGTCGCTGACGACCTTTGTAGTGACCGTGGCGTGACACGAGTAAAATAGCGACACAGACGAGTCGGTACCATGTTCAACTCTCGTCTGACATGCAAATGCGAATGCAAGCAAATTTTCTTGAGGACCGCGTATTTAGATTAGGTGCATGTAAAATACCGAGCTGCTTGAAACTTCTGAAGCCCTCTACCGCAGCGTGTCTCACAACTCATATGGTGATTTTGAGACGTTAACTTCAAACAATTCTTGTTGAAATTCAAATGCTCACCGCAAACACGCTGAGAGGTACTTCGGTGATTGTTTATCGTCATGTGTAGGCTGTCGTCACGTGTAGGTGATTATTTATCGTCACGTCACGTGTAGCGTCACGTGTAGGCCATTGAGCAAAGTAAGAGTTCGGAAAACATAGTCCTCTGAAGTACCTACGTGACGGAAAAGGAAACGAAAATCAGTTTGCGAAACCCTTCTTTTTATCCGCTTGTGACATGTACAGATCACAGCAAGTGCTACGGTATAGGGCTGGTGCATAGTTTAGATGATTGCGTCAACGTTTTTAAGAGGTGTCGTTATTTGTTCAGGCAACCATACTATGCCATAAAAATGAGTTTTCCAGGTGCAGAAACAAATCGTCACTCATCACGTTAATAAAACGCCAGTATCCTAATTTCATCAAATAAAGAAATGTTTGAAGTCTTAGGAATGCGGCAGATTAGCCCATGGGCAAGTCATGGATGATATTCCCCATATGCAGATTCATCTCTGAAAGCAGTGCGTCGCAAATAATTCTTCCATTAAAAGCACGGCGACGGCACTACTTAGATACATGTGTCGAGTTGACAGCAAGTTGTGGTAATATCTTGGGGACATTCGGTGCATTTAAAATTTGTTGACAATAAATTTCTTTTTTTTTTCATGTAGCCGGCGTGGACTTCGAGACTTACTGCAAACCCACGCATGACCGTGGTCCCTGCAAGGCTTACATCCCAAGGTGGTGGTTCAATGTGAAGACCGGTCAATGTGAGCAGTTCATCTATGGCGGTTGCCAAGGAAACAAGAACAACTACGAGACCAAGAGGATTTGCGAAACAAACTGCCTCAGGAGGCAACTGAGTAAGTCACAATCCACACCTTTCTGAACCTATACAAATCAACGGGACCAACCAGAGGCATGAGTGTCTTGCATATTGTTATTTTTTAGCAGCTCTAGTCTAGTACGCCAAAGACGGTTTTTCCCGAGCTTAGTTCAGAATCTGACACGCAGAGACAAACAAAAAGTGCCGCGCAAACAACAACAGCAGCACGCAACATATGCTTGTCCAACGTACTTGGGGGTGAAAGAGTTCATGCGATTCTGATGACCTTTAGAGAGAGAGAGAGAGAGAATTTACTAAAAGGTGGCCAAAGCCATGAATACTCCTAAATGGAGAGAGTGCGGAAATTTATTAGAAGGCACAGAGGTCCTAGTTGCCTTCGGAGAAAAAAAGAAAGAAATTATTAGAAGGCAGAGAGGCCATAATTACCTGCTGAGAGATATAGAAGAATTCATTAAGAAGCAAAGAGGCTGGTGATTATCTTCATGAAACAGAGTGCACAAAACACGGGACAGAAAGAGATCAGGACAAACGCTGTTCCTTGTTTTGTGCACTCTGTTTTGTGAATAACTATGAATAAACAACACGCCCAAAACTTCTCCTCTTTTGCTGGGACTATCTGCCATTGAAATGCATGTTCGCGCTTGGTGACTGTAAACGTTTTCGCACAATGTCACGTTTCTTGTATTTTTATTTGTAAGTGTTGAACTGGTGTCCAACCTACTACGTGTCCCACCTACTACGCACTGCTGTAGTGCTGCTGAATTCATTCTTTGCTTAATACATGCTGGTCTTGAATACTAAAAAAATATAGAGAAAAGGAAAGAAATACAATATTCTTGGGCGATGATAGCTACAAATACGCATCCCCATTTTTTACTATTCAGTTATGCATGACGAATGAGGTTATTTGAAATATAAGTATTACTTGTTGGGCTAGTCTATTCATGTTTCTGCAAAGGCCGCAAAAAGTATGGCTACTTTTGCGATCCCCTTGAGCCCTTCCCTTGTTTTTAGGTGCGAAGCTGCTCTTTGACTAGCCTGTGTAACCCTGTCCCTCCACACCGGCACGTCCCCGCTCACCGCGTGTCATCTCTGTCATCTCATAAATACAATATTCTTCGGCGATGACCACCGCAAATAGAAATCACTATTTTTCCTTTTTCAGTTCTCCATGATATGAACGCAGGAGAATTTCCAAGCTTATTTAGAAAAGCTGCATGGCTGTCAGTGATTTAGCGCGCTTCTTCTTACTGCGATAACGGTATAAAAAGGTAACATCTCAGTAAGCAGCCTTTTACTATTGATGATCTGCTCGACGGTGATGCAACAAAAGCTCGATTATTTGATGGGGCATTTTTTTTTCCGTCAGTCTAGAAACTCCGCACAAAAGCGCTAGGGATAGTGTAAAAACATTTCAAATGGAATTATATGACGTTATTGTAAGGTATGCCATCCGGAATAATATTTTTCCATGCAAATTATTTAAAAGAGAACGTTCATTGTAAGCACATGGGTGTCTCTGCATAAACTTCGCCCAATGTTCAACATTAATGCTGACTCAAGTTTATTCACCTATGACATTCAATTTTGTGTTCTTTTTAAGGGACAAATATGTACCGATGTGTCGTAATTTATTTGACAACTATTTCGCTGCAGTGGCAACAGGGCCACACAATAACAGGTTATCTCAAACACAATTGAAGCTCATCCGATAAGTAACAGCCCCACAGTTAGACGGCTAACAACAATGCAAAACCTCGTTTACTACAGAACCGCAAAAACGCTGCATTCACACAATATTTAAGTGCCCTTTACGACGCACATCAACTAAAGTGCAGCACCTACCCCGACAAGATCCTGGCGAATATAGCGTACGACGACGATACGCGGCACTATAGGCAAGTTCATTAAGTGATCTTATTGCAGTGCATACACCGCTGAGTAAAGGTCACATGTGTCTCCAGATTATGCTAGAAAAAAGTACAAGCAGTTAAACTTGCGCTAACAGAGCGGTATGAACCCTTATTTGAGGACGAGCATAAGGTATGTCAGTGCACATGGTAGGCTTATGTACCTAGCAGTTGACGCAGGGACCAATCCACACTAGGAGCGCTTCAGCCAGTGGCCATCAGGCGGCGACTCCACTTGATCTTGGAGTGAAAAGTCCTCAAAAGGACTGCGTCATGAAAACAGCGCACCACACTATTCGCGTTTCTTGTCCCATCTTCCCTGGCAGCGCCCCGTCAGTGGGAAGCTGTTCTTATCACATTATACTAAGATAACTTACATTGACCTTATCATGCGTGTGACAAAATGCCTCTTGTGCGTCACAGCACAGGTTGTTTCGCAAGTATCTATTGGTCAACTGAAGGGATTGGACACCAACTTTATCGAAGACGACTCGCAAGGCTTACCCCTTAGTTGTCTTTCTTAAACTATGTTGTGAGGACTCGGCGACATAAACAAGGCGATTGTGTGACTACAACGTCTCTGAATAAGCAGCAGCTACGGCATCGACACAGTCGTGGTGCACGCGCTGCGCGCATCTCTGAAGAACTACGACACAGCGTCAGTACTAGCTCAGCACGTAGCACAAGGCTGCCAGAATACGTGCAGTCTCACAATGTCAAGGTGCTACCTGCGAATTCTTTTTCGCTAAATTGCGATATCGCTGAAGATCACATTTTTATCTTGTTTAAAATTGCTTCACAGATACATCTGTTTCCAGAAAGTCAGGTGTTCTCTTTGGTGTTTCGTATAGCCCCTGAAATTTATGCAGTGGCTTTTAGAGGCTTCAAACGGCCATGAGCCAGATTGATTCCCGAGGGGGATCGGGATGAAAATTTGTGTGTTGGGTAGGATTCCGTATATTTCATGTTGGTAGTAGAAAAATGTTTCTAGTACATTAAGTTTCACTTCTTCAAGGTCGTGGGTAATGGCTGGTTACTCGTATTAGTAGATCTCACACACTATTTGTGCGTTGGTCCTTGCATCTCATAAAAATCGGATTTCCAGTTTCACGTACGTAATCTTGGTTACAGGGAGAACACTCAACTTAACAGGCTAAACTTGAACATATTTAAACGCAGTGCTCGACTAAGCAGACACAAGACAAGAAGGGGGGACAAACCACAGCACCCCCTGTTCTCTTGTGTCCGCGTAGTCGTGCGCTGTGTAAAATTATGCTCAAGCACAGTCACCGATTGGCCGAACTTTCTGTTCTACAACAGGCTAAGTTACACGAGTCTCATGTGTAGTTCTACCTTACCCAGCGAATGTAATCTAAAACTATGGTTTTTACATTGCTAGCCGTTTGTGTATGTTTCAATGTAGAACATCTCAATAGGCCACAGGGACCAGATACTATCTAGAAGTAGAATTCGCGGGGCTAGCCTATTTATGTTTTTGCAAAGGCCGTAAAATATATGGTTGCTTTATGTATCTCCTTGACCCCTGCCCTCACATTTTTCATCACACCAGAACATCCATAATTTCGCGGCCTGCGTTGAGACCAGATGCTGGCTGAGCCATTATTTGGAGTTTCCGATAAAGGTGCTTGCATGACCAAGCACGGAGCGCCATCTGTCGTCGTCGGCCACAGCGGTGGCCTGCCGTGACAGAACAGAATCGTAGTGGGAAGTTCCAGTAATATTTTTCCAGCTGTGATTCCTTAACGTTCATCTTAATCCTAGGAAACTACCCTCTGGCATGTAGCCTCTATCGAAATTCATGTGCCGCTGAAGTTTTCGAACATGTGGCTTTCATATCAGCAGCGGGGCACTATTACCAATTCTCCTACTTGGCGGCTGGTGGAGCAGATGAACAATGGTTGGGCTGGAAGTTCGACAGGTGTCGAGAAATTCCCACAAGTACAATCAGCACATGTCAACTGCCAGAGCGAAAACTTCCGCCCTCATATATGGGTTGTACCGTGTTTCGATGGCCGTGTGAAAGATACAATTCTTGATGATTGTTATGTCCTTATCCACCCATTCGCAGTTGACCATAGGACGTATTTTTTCTACCTTGCAGGTGAACTTGAAGTCTCGGCTGATGTGCATTACCGCAAACACTGGAACGAAACCAAATACAGCCCAAATGTGACGGTAGAATACTCTGCCGTCCACTTCAATGGTTAGTGTAGTTTTCTGGTTCACTATTATAGCAAACTAATTGAACGAGGGCGGAAACAAACGACGCGAGCACACGTACATTGTTCTTTTCCGTCCTAATAAGTTTAGTGTTTTCAAAGGTTAGCATATATAACTAACGTTGTAGGCTTGTGAACCTCCAAAATATAGGGCTTTTTTTAGTTTACTGTATGCTCTGCGGGAATCTCCTAAACAAGAAAATGTGCAATGCTTCTGAAATGACGTACCAACACCGGAGCTCGGCACCACTGTTGTTGCAAGTAGTAAATGCACCAATCATAGGCAGACCTCAATTAAACTATTAACCAAACAAAAAAGGACCTCACGTTACTAATTTTCAGAACATAAACTGGGGCACCCACAAGAGGTACCTCAATATATGAATCCTTGTCGTCTATGTGATAACTTGCCTACCTGCACAGTGGAATTATTTGTGCATGCGAGGACTTTACGCGGCAAAAGTAATATGTCCACTATTAGTCAAGCTATCCTTAAAGACTTCAAGAGGCACGAGACCACAAGGAAAAGCCCGACAACGCGTATCTTTTCTCAAAGACTATATAGATTAGTTTGTGCTTCTAGGAACCTTCAGCTCAATAGGCTTATAATATACATAATGGTGTCTATTAACTCTTCTGTACGCTTCAGCGTTGATTGAGGCACTGTGTGTACAGTATGCTTCAAGCTATAGACCTTTTCACTGTTTACAAATACAGCCTCTTGATGACTTCTGGTTTTGTCCACCGAAATGTCAAAATAGCATAGGTGGAAAAGAGAAAGCTTTAGAAAATAAACCACTGATTTTCTACAATTTCCCTTATTCGGGTGAATATGTTCGAATAAATGTTTTTTTTTTGAGCTACATAAAATAGTAGATTTCCCTGAACTTTACGCACGCTCTTTTTATCTGAAAAACTGAAGAGAGACATTTCTTACATTTAAAAGAAACTTGAGAACGTGCTTTCCGTTTCAACGTTAGGAGCTGGTAAATGAGGTAACCGGAAAGTTTTTGAGTTACAATGCTTGTGACCTTGAAACCGTCCATACCCACATGAAGTTCAACATCAAGCGTGTTCACGTCTCAGTGTTGAAAGAAAGGGTAGAATTTATTTTCTGAGGCTTGAGTCACCATGTGGTGGATTTTAGGGGTGAAGCGTCTTAAGATCGACACTTGTTCGTCCACGTCCGAGTACATCACGGGGAAGATTCGTGGATATGAGACACAAAGTGAGGTTTCACAATAGACTAGTTATCAGTCATAAATGCGACAGAACAACACGAAACACCTAGAAGCATAAACCATTTATACGAGTGGGTGACTTCAACGTTCACATTGTGATGCTTACTTTCCACTGTCATGGTGATTAGAAACCGTTGCTATAGTCGAAGTACATATGTGCGCATGCAAGACAAAAATGTTTACAATAGAACCAGAATCATGATCGTGATGAACTAATATAAAATACCCACATACCCAAAGCCTATACACTAGTCGGTGAGTTCAATTTAGGCATTATCGACCTTAGGACCGAGCAGTTCATTATGGGTGGGATGCGTCTTGCTCATAGCATTGTTACCGATTGCCACTAACGTAGTGCAAAATGTACCGAAGAGGCCCTTGGCTCCCGTGGCCCATAAAGCTTTTGTTGTTGACTGTACTTGTGATAACATGAAAAAAGTGCAACTTCTACGAATTTCCCTATCATGAAACTTCAGTGGTCTTTTTTTAGTTTAGCACTTCCCAACGATGGTTTCATTTTAATCAAACGTTTACCAATCCGGGTAGTAAACTGAAGCGATCGCAAAATTACGCTCTCGCACTGACACAAACAATCCTTTCAATAAATGGGACGACCGGTTGAGCTCTCATGGGACGCAAAAATTTGCAAAATGACGTTGAAGCTATCTATGTTTTGTTGCTGACATCCGTTTTTATTGCTGGCACCTAAATATCCAAATTGGCTCGGATGTGAAAAAGAAAACACTAGTCATGAGGTGAAGTGGAGGATAAACAAAAAATGATACTTTGATCATATGATTTCATTCTAATTCTTTCAATAATATTGATTTCGGCCATAACATAACACTGCAATCATTGAATCATGTGTATTGCGTCGCACCATATAACACCACGGAGGTTGGGGATGTTGCAGTGACACTGAACCCTGTGTGCAACGAACCTAAGTATCCAGGACTATGTAAGGGCTATTTCCCTCGTTATTACTACAACAACAAGACCAAGACATGCAAGAAGTTCATCTATGGAGGATGTCAGAGCAATGGCAACAACTTCCTAACTCTCGAGGAGTGCGAGAACACATGTTTGGGTATGTGACCTCTGAACCCTTCTATAGTCAATTTATGTGAAACTGCAACACACCCATTTCAAGCTCATAAATCAAAACGTTACCCTAACAAAAAAAACCGTCTTTTAAGATGCCACGTTTTCGGTGTCTGCCGATAAGAAATAAGATGTATGGAATTCTGGCTTAGGAGAAACACAATGGACACCATGCTTCCAAGCAAAGTCAGAGCTTCACCAAACTCGTGAAGCTGGGTAGAGCCAGATGAGCCAATTCAAATAAATACGTGAAGAATGTGGGATGCTTTCCAAACATTAATAAAGTGGCAGACCAGTTGAACCGTCAAGTCGGAGTTCATCTCCAAAGCACGCAAACATTGAAATAATGTGATTTGCTATAAGACCCGTTTTAAATTTTAGAATAATAATTTACAAGTCTCACTTTGATTCAAAAATCAGCAATAATAGAACGCTAAGTTGGTTTAGCTTGCATAAAAGCATATCTATTATAGCCGCAAATCAAGCACATTCGTTTTGGATAAAAAAAATAGACGCAAGCAAGTAGAAGCTATGTGACCTGTGTTTGAAGTGCTAAGAAGACACCTGTAAATTCCGGCCTTTCATGTCTGAGCGAACATTTTCGAAGCCACCATGGCTTTAATTCTTTCATGAGCCCTTCTTTTTCTGTTCAAAAGGCAAAGCTTTGCACCAGCAAAGGTAGAAGCTGCGTAGGTGCACGTGTTGCAAAAGGACGAATTATGTCGTAGTGGGCACTCGATCACTATACTTGTAATAGGTATTTAAAATAATTTGAAACGCGCACACGCACAGTCAGCCGTTTCTTGCGGCGCGGTTGCGACACGCACCTGGAGCCGAAGCTATAAGCTAGCAATAGGGAATGTCATACGCTCAGAGCCCGATCAGGCCATAGCGTTCGACTCTCGATTACGAAGCTCAAGTGTTCTCCGGGGAATTTATTTGCCCTTCTATATATCGCATTTTGTGTAGTGCGGTTTTACTTTATGTCTTAAATGTTTGTTTTTCCGCGCTTCACTTCAGCACCTTACCTCACGAAGGAAGTTTTTTTCCGCCTATGATGATGTGGCCTAGCACTTGCAAGGTGGAGACCAGGGCTAGTAATATATCGTATACGTTAGGTCAAGCACCATAGTATGCTTATAAGAATCATACCGTGGGACGCTCCAGAAACTTAGTCCACCTGGTGTTCTTTAACGTGCACTTAAATCTAAGTACCCCACGTCTAGCATTTCCCCTCCTTCGAAATGCGACTACCAGGACTGAGATCGAGCCCCCGAATTCAGCATCAGCCTTTGGGCAACATAAGCACTGTTACTCCGTGCCGACTAGCGGGGCGGAAGAAGCTTTGGTGGAAGTTTAACCAGGTGTGAAGAAATTCCCACGCATACGATTATGACGCCAAAGCTGCCAGAGTGATATCTTCCATCGTCATATGAAAACGTACAGCAACACGACGCGCATAATTTAATTCATGATGATTAGTGTGCTCTATCAAACGTTTCACGATGGCCCTTTGGATGTGTTTGCTCTGCCTCAGTTGCAGATGCTCTTGAAGTCTCGGCTGACGTGCATTACCCTAAGCATTGGAACAACACCAGGCACTGGAACGGAACCGAACACAGGCCCAATGTGACGTCAGAATACTCTGCTGTCAGCCCCGACGGTCAGTGTCGTAGTTTATGCTGGTCTTCTAGTTTAGTGTACTTTTGACGCGAAGCACCTAAACAAGGAAATGTTCAATGAACCGCTGTGAAGAATCCCCCAAATCGGCGCCTGACAACAATCTTGCATGTAGTAAACACACCAACCTCAAGGCGACTTCCACAAAATTCTAGCGGGGAGGAGGAAGCGAGTGACTCGTACGTGAGAGCAAAAACACGAAGTACAGACGCAGATACCTATCGCATCGTGAACTTGAAATCCTTATCATAAGTGTGATCACTTTCCTACTAGCCCAATGAAAACAAAAAGGACTGCACACGAAGGTTTCACGTGACCGAAGCACACTCCTTATTATCGAAAATGCTGTAAAAAAGCAAGAAAAAAACCACGCACTTCTCTGCTGTTTCTCTCTTAAGCTACGTACCTTATTTGGTTCTTTGGGGAATCTCTAGTTGAAGTCGGAATAAATAAATAATATTATGTAATACTATAGTAATTACCTCTCACCACACTTGTTTTTGTGTACCCATCCTTTATGTAATACCCAATTTAGGGTCCTTCAATGAATAAAGAAAGAAAGAATGAATGAACGAACAAACGAACGAATGAATGAATGAATGAATGAATGAATGAATGAACCAATGAGCGTGACCTAGAGTAACTATAAATATTCTGAGCATACGATTAGCTTCGAACTATACTAACATTCAGTTCAGCCCAAGGTTTCCTCACGTTACAGTGTTGAAAGAAAGAGCAGAGTTTAGTTTCTGAGGCTTGGTTTTTGTTTCACCAGTCTGCCCAACTTCCTGTGCCTTTGTTCTCCGAGGTTGTGGTATATTCACTTGGATGAAGGACGCAGCTTTCAAGCAAATACAATAGACCATTCAACATCGCTTTACTCTTTCTTTAGCTAGGCATCTTTTTTTTTTTCAGATGCACCTTTGGAAGATAGCCTAGGCCTCTCACGTCATGATCAGCATCCATCCATCCATCCATCCATCCATCCATCCATCCATCCATCCATCCATCCATCCATCCATCCATCCATCCATCCATCCATCCATCCATCCATCCATCCATCCATCCATCCATCCATCCATCCACTTATGCCAGTCTGCGGTAAAAGTCTGTTGCAATTGTGAAGATTGTAAAAAGAAGACAATTATGAATGATAATGACTAGTTCTGTATTACGTACAACTAATTACATCCTACAGTTTTTTTATTGACCTTGTAGGTAAGTGAAAAAGTAAATAATTAAAATAATAATAAATTTCTTTTCGAGGATCGATTGTAAACAGTGCATCGTTACTACAGGACGCTATGGGGAGTTGAGTCCCCATTATAAAGAAGTGGGGTTCTCTTAAAGAACCCGCTCTTCGTCGAAATTGTAAACAAAAGTGTGGACTTATTTTTACGGAAGTTGCGCGTGAAATAGCACTACTTGCAAAGGCTTATTCTCGAAGAAGCGTCTCAATGTACCGCCCCACTACATTCACAGCCCGCAAGCGGGCGTGTCACACAATTTTTGGGGGGTTTTCGCAGGCACCTACTTATCAGGGGAGTATGAATACCTCGTAGATAGAAGCTCGGAAAATGTCTAACTGGACGTCTTGCTAACCACTATAGCAATTTCTAACTGAAATTTTTCTACCCAGCTTTGTTGTTTTAAACAATGATTAGATGTATTTCATATTTCGAAGTAAGCAACTAGGCAAAACACAACTGTGTGGCTTACGTGCAGCGACACTCATTTGGACGCAGTCATAAAGTCTGAGTCGACTTCTCTGAAACTATTTTGGAGTGAGCCCTGCCTTGTTTTTGTTACTGTGGGCCTAGCAACGTCAAACTTCGGTACACCAGGTACGATGTATTGGTGACAATGTATGTATGTATGTATGTATGTATGTATGTATGTATGTATGTATGTATGTATGTATGTATGTATGTATGTATGTATGTATGTATGTATGTATGATGTATGTATGTATGTATGTATGTATGTATGTATGTATGTATGTATGTATGTATGTATGTATGTATGTGTATGTATGCGTGTATGTATGTATGTATGTATGTATGTATGTATGTATGTATGTAGTATGTATGTATGTATGTATGTATGTGTGTGTATGCATGCATGCATGCATGCATGTATGTATGTATGTAGGTATGTATGTATGTATGTATGTATGTATGTTTATGTATGTAGTAATTAAGGCGCAGGAAGTGTATGTAAACTAAAGAGCACCTGTCGATGCAGCGGGGACTTTAAGGTTTTTGTTTTGTTTTGGCCACCTGATGTACCTGAACATTCGACACGGTCTGTAGATATGTAAGCGGCATGTACTACGTATCGTCATGCACTCATATATTCTTTACGTAGCTGGCTTCGACTTCGAGACTTACTGCAGACCCACATATGACCGTGGTCCCTGCAAGGCTGGCATCTGGAGGTGGTGGTCCAACGTGAAGACCGGTCAATGTGAGAAGTTCCTCTACGGAGGTTGCCGGGGAAACGAGAACAACCACGCAACCATGAAGGAGTGCGAAATAAGGTGCCTTAGGCTACTCAGTAAGTGTCAGACCACATTATTAGGTACTTTTGCGTGCAGCGCACTCTGCGAACGCGGCACCACTACTTCCCAAGCAATAAAGTTACCCTAGCTAAATCACTTTTTCTAGTGATGTAAACACGTTGCCTGTAGCACTATAAAAAGGACACTTGAGCGAAAGGCAGTCGTGACGCATGGCTGGGACGTCTATGGTAAGGGAATGTAGCAACTAATGTGACCTTTGCTTATTACAATGGAAGATTCATCGAGTGTAATCGTCCCTCTAGCAAGCCTAAGCTAAGCAACCTTGGAAATGTTGACTTGTAAATAATTAGCTATTGGCGTGCTCCCGATGAAGGACAGCGAATAGTGAACGATGCGAGCACCGATGAGCCATTGCGTATAATTGTTTCGAACAGTATCTTATAACGTGCAAAATCAGTGTCACATGACACACACATAACAAAGGGTGTCATTTGATTACGTCCTTAAAAATGAGGTTGTTTATGTTGCAATGTGATAGAGGTCTGGGTAAAGCACACGCCTGTGTTCGCATGCATTTTGAAAGCTTCTAGTCTCCACATTAATTGAGGTTTTCTTTCTATACGCTATATCAGACTTGTAAAACAATGGTTAGCCGTAGTAGATTTCGCAATGTTCAGCCAGCTTCGAGATGGCTGCGTTCTTGAGCTCGATGTGGCGCTTTTTAATACGTACGATGAGGACGTAAATAAACGCGAACAGTGCGGCATCAACATTCTCTACAGATTAGAATTTTTTTCGCATGCGGTTGTAGTCTGTGTGGTAATAAAGAAGCTCTTGAATAATCCATGATATATTCAAGAATCATTCATCTACCATTTTACTGTACCGAATGTGACCGCTCAATAGAAACATCGTGCCGCGCTGTTCGCGTTTTGTTCCCAATAAGTGAAGGCATCTATTCCCAATAGGCGAAGGAATTAAAATTTGTGTATTGGGTACGAATCGGTGTATGTCATTCCATGCTGAAAATGGAAACTTTTTTGTAGTGCATGATGCCTTGTTTCTTCGAGGTTATGGCCATCTTGACTGTAATGGCTGCTTACTCTTGTAATTGCACTGTGCGTGCTATCTGCGTGTCCAGTCTCCCGAGCGTAATGTTGGTTGCAGGTGATACACTCAACACAGTAGGTTTGGTTGGGCGAGCCGCAGTGGATGCTATGCTTTACTCAGCAAATGTAATCTGAAGCTATGGTTCTGCGATAGCGATTATATGGATACTCTCGGCCGATTATTACCGTCGCCGTAGCCGTCATGTTCATATATATATATATATATATATATATATATATATATATATATATATATATATATATATATATATATATATATATATATATATATATATATATATATATATATATATCGCATTTTTTCCATATCACTAGTGGCGAGGTATGTATAAACACCATTTACCACAGGCTTACTGACAATGGACCTAAAGGAAACATTCTTGAACGAAGCATGTGCTTTGTTTGGATGAGCTATACATGCTTTCCTAAACAATAACGTGCCCGAAGGATTTATCAATGAAGGAAGGGGGGGGGGGGGTCCTGAAGCACATATAGTTAGAGGTAAAAGGCCTTCTAAAGACTCTATGACTCCACTTTCAATCTGAATCAACAGTGAAAACTGCTCGCATCAAGTCGAGGACTATTCGGGAAGTTGCTGGTCTTGTCGTTGTCACACCAGTCTCGTTAATTAGGGAGGCGATCGCCGGGCTAATTCCAAGGGCTGAAGTATTGGCCCCCCGAACCGCACCACGAAAGCGTGGACAATTTAGAAGTGGTCCTTTTTGGCGCGCCAGCAGACGCTGGCTGTGGCCCAAAGAGCAAGTCAGAGCCGAGAGTTGATAAACAAAACAAATATTATATTCTCAAAAATGGCAGATCGAAAACAACACACAAGAATGCACACTCCACAATAGTTACATACAATACGTCACCAATCAAACAACGTACTACACAGTACAATCAGCCACACTCAAAACAACGGACACAGACAACGATACGCACTACAATGCAGCCGCATGCATTGAACAACCAAGACACTTAAAGACTAAAGAGATATAAAACCTATTCAGTCCAAAGTCCTTGGAACAAAAGTCTGAATGATACTCTTCCGAGAATCACTCACTCAAAGTTCAGCGTTGTTGTCGTTCCGCGCCCTCGAAGTTTCTCTTCCAGGAAACCTCGCCGGAGTTTCTCTTCCAGGAAACCTTCCGTCTTCAATAGGCCACTCTCCAAGCTTCAAACTTCTTCGCCGGAACACGTCGGCTCCACACACGCAGCTGTCGCCACGCGTCTTCGCTCGATAGCGGTAAACACACACTCTTGCCTGTAACTCGAGTCGTCACCCCTCAGGTGGAAATCCTCTTCATCTCCTGCTTCGTCTCTACGGACGAAACCTTCGCCGACTACACGGCGGTATACCCTACGCGCTCTGGCGCTAACTTCCGTCTCCTCCTCAACTCTCATCTCGGCTGCTCGGTTAAATACCTTGCGCGCGACATTCCAGACGGTTCTCGTCATTTCGTCGGCGCGATACACAGCGAAGGCTGGGAAGAGGGCAAGACGGTGGGCACGCCCTCCGCGGCCGATGACTCAACTCGGTATGACCACGCCCCTTTCGTTCTGGAACTTTCGCGGGCTATCTCGGCCGCCGATGTGGGGCGAGGAGGTTCATCGGCGAAGCCACGCTTCCCAGAGGGGAGGCGTCGCGCGCCCGGGGAGCCTTGGATGCTTGTTTATTCTTTTCTTTTTTTTTTCGTTGACCTAGCTGCGTCTCTCTGGGCGCGTTATCGCAAGAATTTGGCGGCGCGCCCGTTTTTAGCGCTCGTTCTGTGACAGTCGTGTCTGTGCATTCGGCTCCCAACGACATGCACACCGCCACTATAAATTTAAGACAAACTGAAGTCGTGCTATAAGTAGTGGTGACGTTTGCGCCGTTAAAACATCGCACGGCTTCGTCGTTGCAGCGTTGTACATCTCACCAGGAACCTTGCGGACTGACCTCATGAAGTTCTTGCTGCACAACTTTTGTGGCGGTGTGTGAAGGCTTCAACTTTATTGTACATCGAAGTGAAAGCGAGTGGCCCATAGCGTTTATTGATGCCGAACATAAGCTTCACCACCTGTCAGACGTCACGCAGTCAACTAATAAGACCTGCTGATATATTGTAGTCACTGCATCACTGTCCATTTAAGCATAATCGACTGTGTTCAGTGCATTTTGTATGGTTCCTAAATCTCCCAGCCTCACTTCTTATGACAGCTCGATGTGTCGCTATTGCATTCATTGCATTGGCCTTGTGCCAAACTAACACTTCTTTTTCTACTTTACTTGCCGGCTTTTTTGTATGCACAGAGAACATCTAAATAGACCACAAAAAGCACATGACAGCTTCGTGGCTCTTTTGAGTTTCCGATGCACCAGCTTGTTTTCGAAATTAGTTGGGCGTTCTTAAACGACTCTAGGTGGTTTGGGGAAAACTTCTTTGGGTTTCTCGTAGAGAGCGAACATTATAGAAGATTTACGTAGCTTAATGTATACGTTGGGCAGCTAGCACGATAACTTGGTAACGAGCACAGGTTCTTGCTTTTGTGGTATGAGGGCATGGCTTTGAGCATGGATTAGCGCAGTACGGAGCACGCTGGGACTAAGTGTCTCGCCCAAAACTGTTTCTCAAGGAAATACAAACTGTGAACACGACGATGTCCTCTGTGCCTCAAAGGAGAGACGAACCCACATGAGCAATCTTTGAAAGGGTAAGGACTAGTGTGGAAAAGGAGCGTAGTATTGGTGGAAAACTTCCAGCACACGGATGCTTACAAAATACCGTGCTGGACAAGTTCATTCATAATCTTAAATCAAAAACAGAGCGATAAAAACGGTACGAGCAGAGATACCGTACGCTTGTCCTTCTGTGTTCTAGAGCTTATTTGTGCACTCTGTCTTTTTTATAACTTGAATATTTCTTTTCCTGTACCTTTGTCCAGCTGTATTCTTCGTGACGCGATACTTTACCGGCGATAGTGTTGCCTGATTTTCGCGACGCCATGCGCAAGGCTGAAAATAATCTCTCTTCGTTTAAGGACCTCATACGTAGGTCTCGTAAAGAGTCATGCCATAGGTGGAAGCTCCAAAAACTTCGTCCATCTGGGGTTCATTACGTTCGCCTAAATCTAAGTACACTTCCCTTTAGGCCTCCATTGAAATGCGTCTGCCTCTATCGGGTTCCGAGCCCTGATTTTCGTATCACCGGCCGAGCAACATAACCGCTAGACCACCTTGGCGGCTAGCAGAGAACATGTGAAATTCTCGGGGCTAGAGATTCGATAGGGTTAAAAAGAAATTGCACAAGAACAATCAGTACAAGTGAGTTGCAAGAGCGAAATCTTCCACATTCACACATGAAATGTACCGTGTGCAGATTGTCGTGCGAAAGATACATTTCCTGATGATTGTTATGCCCTTATCCACCCATTCGCAGTTAACCATGCGACGTATTTGTTCTTCTTTGCAGGCACAGTTGAAATCTCGGCCGACGCGCATTACCGGAAACACTGGAACGGGACCAAGTACAGCCCGAATGTGACGACGGAATACTCTGACGTTCACCTTAATGGTCAGTGTAGTTTTCTGGTTCACTATCATAGAAAACTAAATGAGCGAGGATGAAAACGAACGAGGCGGGCACATGTACCAGCTTTCTTTTCCGTCAAGTCGGCTAAGTGCTTTACAAAAGTTAGCATATATCACTAACGTGGTCATCAAGCATGTACGCCTCCAAATTATATGCCTTTTTAGTGTACCTAACGTTTCGCGGGTATCTCCCAAGCAAGAAAACGTGGAATGACTCTCCGAAATTACGCACCGAAATCGGGGCTTGGCGCCAGTGTTGCTAGTTGTAAACACACCAACCATAGGCAGACTTAAATAAATTCTGACATGAACGAAGAAAAAATACCTCAAATTATGGATTCTCAAAACATAAACTGGGGCACCCACAAGTCGTAACTCAATATATGAATCCTTGTCGTCTATGTGGTAACATGCCTACCCGCGCATTGGAATGATTTGTGCATCCGAGGACTTTACGCTGCAAAAGTAATCTGTGCGTTATCAGTCATGCTGTCGTTGAAGGCTTCCAGAGGCACGAGACCACAAGGGAAAGCCCGACAACACGTATCTGTTCTCATAGACCATATATATTAGTTTGTGCTTTAGGGACCCTTCAGCTCAATGCGATTATATTATTCATAATGCTGTAATAACTCTTGTGTACGCTCCTGCCTTTATTGAGGTACCGATAGTACAGTCAGTTTCAAGCTATAAACGCTTTCACTGTTTGCAAACACAGCCCCTTGATGACATCCAGTTTGTGTTAACCGATGTGCCAAAATGGCATTGGTGGGCAAGGAAAGCGTTAGAAAATAAGCCGCCGATTTTCTACAATTTTTTTTGCTTATTTGACAAACTGTGTTCAAATAAATGCTCTTTTGAGCTATACATAATATATCTTTAGGATTTGTTTGAACTTTACGCACGTTCTTTTCATCTGATGAACTAAAGAGAGGTATTTCTTACATTGAAAAGAAATTTGAAAACCTGCTTTCCGTTTCAATGTTAGGAACTGGTAAACGAGGTGACCGGAATTCTGGGATACAACGCTTGTGATCTTGAAACCGTCTATACCTACATGAAATTCCGAATCAAGTGTGTTGACGTCTCAGTGCTGAAAAAAGCAAAGAACCTATTTTCGGAGGCTTGGATTACCATGTAGTGGACTTTAGGGGAAAATCGTCTTATGATCCACACTTGTTCGTCCACGTCCGTGTCTACACAGGAAGATTCATGGATATGAGATACAAAGTAAGGTTTCGCAATTGACTAATTATCAGTCATAAATGTGACGGAACAACACGAAACACTTAGAAGCATAAACAATTGAAACGGGTGGGGGACTTCAGCGTTCACATTATGGAGCTTAGGGGCCAATCTTTGTCGTCGACGCTTACTGTCTGCTTTCATGGTGGTTAGAAAGCGTTGTGATAGTAAAAATATACAGGGCGTCCCAGGTAAACTTAGCCAGAGTTTAAAAATATACCAGCACATGTAATTCTGGTGGGACTAAATGCATGTTGTTCATTGTTGCCTGGAGTCAGTCACACTATTTTTTGTGTTCTCAAATATTGTTTGCTTAGATCAGTTTAATTGACTAACCTTTGAAGGAACGAAAAAGGATAAAAAAGTTCAATGAGAAAGTTGTAGATAGGTTTGCAAAACTTCTGAATAGATATTTATGAGCTTTATAGGAAAGTTGTAGACAGGTTCGCAAAACTTCTGAATAGATAGTTTAGAGCTTTATATATGTTAAGTATTAGTCTTTTCCTGTTAATTACAAATGCCCGGGAAATACAAAAAAATACCACGTGACAAAACCGCTCACGCGTCATTGCACACGATGATTCTAGTGCTTTCTAACGTTCCGCGTACGAACGACACGCTTCCTTCGCTTCCGTTTATCACAGCGATAAGCAATCACATATATCATCGTTTTTGTGGCCGACAGCAAAACGTGTTCATCGTAAAGCCACCACCATTGTTGCGGCCCTGCAGAGACAGCAATATGCGGCAAATGCTTTTGTAATTCGCACGCGAAGATTTCAACTGTGCCTGCAAAGAAGAACGAATACGTCGCATGGTTAACTGCGAATGGGTGAATAAGGGCATAACAATCATCAAGAAGTGTATCTTTCGCACGACAATCTGCATATGCTACATTTCATATGGGAATATGGAAGATTTCACTCTTGCAACTCACGTGTACTGAATCACAGAATCACATAGGGAGCACTATAATCATTGTGCGCGCTGGTGCACGCGCGGGATTGTCACGTGGTATTTTTTGTGTTTTGTGGTCATTCGAAATTAGCAGAAAAATGCTGATAATTAACAGATATAAAGTCCAAAACAGTATAATCGGACGTTTTTCGAACCGATCTACAACTTTCTCGTTGAAACGTTTCCTCAATCTTCATTTCATCAATCTTCATAAGTTAGTTGATTAAAAAGCTCTAATTACACAATGTTTGAGAACACAGAAACTAGTCTTACTCGAAGGAACGGTGAGCAACATGCATTTAGTCGCGTCGTAGTTGCGTGTGCCCGCACATTTTTAAACTCTGACTAAACTTACCTTAGACACCCTGTATATGCCAAACAAAAATGTTTACATGAGAACCAGAGTCATGATTATACGAGCCAATATAAAATACTCACATACCCAAACCCTATACACTAGTCGGCGAGTTCAATGGAGACATTATCGACCTTAGCACCAAGCTGTCCATTATGGGCGGGATGCGTCTTGCTCGTAGCACTGTTACCGATTGCCTTTAACGCTGTGCAAAATGTACCGAAGAGGCTCTGGCTCCCGTGGCCAGTGAAGCTTTCGTGGCTGACTGTACATGTCATAACATGAAAGTTCAACTTCTATGTATTTCACGATCATGAAATTTCCGTGGTCTTTTTTAGTGTAGCACTCACCAACGATGGTTTCGTTTTAACTAAAGGTTTACCAAGCCAGGTAATGAACTCAAGCGATCAAAAATTTAAGCTTTCGCATGGACACAAACATTTCTTTTTAAAAATGGGAGGACCAGGTGAGCTCTCATGGGAGGCAAAATTTTCCGAAATGACGTTCAAGCTATGTTTTGTTGCTGACATCCGTTTCTATAGCTGGCAAGTAAATATCCAAATTTGTTCGGATGTAAAAAAACGAAATGCTAGTCGTGAGTTGTAGTGGCAGATGAAAAAAAATAATACTTTGACTATATGATTTCATTTTAATTGTTTCGAGAATTTTGATTTCGACCATATTAACATAACGCTGCAACCATTGCATCATGTGCGTTTCATCGCACCATGTAACACCACGGGGGTTGGGGATGTTGCAGTGACAGTGAACCCTGTGTGCAACGAACCTAAGTATCCAGGACTATGTAAGGGCTATTTTCCTCGTTATTACTACAACAACAAGAGCAAGAAATGCAAGAAGTTCATCTACGGAGGATGTCAGAGCAACGGCAACAACTTCCTAACTCTCGAGGAGTGCGAGAACACATGTTTGGGTATGTGACCTCTGACCTCTTCGACAGCCAACTTATGTGAAACTGCGACACACCCATTTCGAGCTCATAAGTCTAAACGTAACCCTGAAAAAACAAACCGTCTTTAAGATGCCACGTTTTCGGTGTCTACCGATAACAAATAACATGTATGGAATTCTGGCTTAGGAGAAACACAACGAACACTATGCTTCCAAGCAAAGTCCGAGCTTCACCAAACTCGTGAAGCTGGGTACAGCCAGATGCGCCAATTTAAATAAATACTGAAGAATGTGAGATGCTTTTCAAACATTCATAAAGTGGCAGACCAGTTGGCCCGTCAAGTCAAAGTTCATCTCCAAAACGCGCAAACATTGAAATATTGTGATTTGCTATCAGACCCGTTTTGAATTTTAGAAATTTAATTCACAAGTCTCACTATGATTTGTAAATTAGCAATAATTGAATGATAAGTAGGTTTAGCTTGCATAAAAGCGTATCTATCATAGCTGCAAATCAAGCACATGTGTTTTGGATAAAAAAAAGATAGACGCAAGCAAGTAGAAGCTCTGTGACCTGTGTTTGAAGTGCTAAGAAGACACCTGTAAATGCCGGCCTTTTATGTCTGAGCGAACATTTTCAAAGCCACCATAGCTTTAATCCTTTCATGAGCCTTTCTTTTTTTTGTTTATAAGGCAAGACGGTGAATCAACAAAGGTATAAGCTGCATAAGTGCGCGTGTTGTCTTACGGGCACTTAGTGGGCCTTTCACTGATTTGCGAAAAGAATAATTATGGCGTAGTAGGCACTGGTCCACTACGCCACTTACTCTAGTAATAAAAAATGCAACACGCACAGAGCCCGAATACGCCATCGCATTCTACTTTTGATCCCGAAGCTCGAGTTCTCCGAGCATCTTTTCTTCTTTTGCCTTCTATATCTTGCATTTCATGCACTTACCTTTTATTTCATGTTTAAAATGCTTGTTCTCCCACGATTCACTCCAGCAGGTTCCCTTGGGAAAAAGTGCGTTTCTGCCGGTGATGACGTTGCCTAGCACTTGCAGGGTGGAGCTCAGGGCTAGTAATAATTGTAAACATTAGGTCAAGCACCATGGTATGCTTTTTAGAATTATAGCGTGAGAGGCTCCAGAAGCTTAGTCCACCTGGTGTCCCTTAGCGTGCACTTAAATCTAAGTACTCACGGCTAGCATTTCCCCTCCTTTGAAATGCGACTATCAGGACTGAAATCAAGCTCCCAAATTCAGCATCAGCCACTGAGAAACATAAGCACTGTTCCTCCGTGCTGGCTAGTGGGGCAGAAGAAGCTTTGGTCGAAGTTTCACCAGGTGTAAAGAAATTTCCACACGTACGATTAGGAGGTCGAAGCTGCCAAAGTGAAATCTTTCGTCGTCATGCAAAAATGTACCGCAATAACACGCGTATGATGTAATTCTTGATGATTAGTGTGCTCTATCCGACGTTCCACGTTGGTTCTTAGGATGTGTTTCCTCTGTCTGAATTGCAGTTGATCTTCAAGTATCGGCTGACGTGCGCTACCCTAAGCACTGGAACAACACCAAGCACTGGAACGGAACGGAACACAGGCCCAATGTGACATCAGAATACTCTGCTGTCAGCCTGAAGGGTCAGTGTCAGAGTTCTTGCTAGTCTTTTCGTTTGGTGTACTTTTCCTGAAAACCTTCTAAACAACCAAACGTTCACTAAACGGCTGCAAAGAATCCACAAAGTTCGCGCTTAATACCATTCTTGCATGTAGTAAACACACCAGCTTCCATTCTAGTGAGTGTAAGAAGCGAATGACGTTGCGAGTGCAAAAACTTGAAGTACAAGCGCAGAAGCCTGTCGCATCTAGAGCTTGGAATCCTCATCAACAGTGTAATAAGGTTTTAATTAGCGTAATGAAAAAGTTAAGGGCTGCATAGGAAGATTTCATCAGACCGAAGCACACTCTGCATTATCATGCATGCTGTTGTGCGAAACTTCAGCATGTATAAAAACTGCAAACAAAACCGCACATTTCTCTGTTGTTCCTCTTTTAGATTATGCATCTTAATTGGTGCTTTCGGGAACCTCTAGCTGAAGTCAGGCTACAAAAATAGGAATATATAATAGTATCGTTATTGAGCGTGAAGTTCTCTACCCATCAAGATTATGATTTTGCCGATGACTTCAAACTATACTCACATTGAGTTCAGCACGAGGTTTGTTAACATTACAGCGTTGAAAGAAAGCGCGGAGTTTCTGAGGCTTGGTTACTGTTTCAACAGTTAGCCCTAATTCCCGTGCCCTTTTGCCTCCTTGGTTGTGCTATAATTACCTGAACGAAGCACGCAGCTTTTGAGCTGATAAAACAGACAATTATACGTTGCTTTAATCTTCTTTTTTAGCGATAGGCATCAGTTCATATGTATATCTGGGAGGCAGCCTGGGCGTCTCGCATCATCATCACTGTGATAAGGCTTCTAAATTGAGGAAATTGTTTCTGTTATTACGTGTAATCTTGGCAGCGTTCTCCAGGGGTCATCCTTTTTTGGAGTCGCCTATATATAAAATGTACTCACCAATTATGCTGCTCCGTGATCGATGTTTCTGGTTGTAATTGTGAAGATTGTAGACACATGGTGATTCTAAGATATTGCTGTATAAATAAGACTGACAAGTTTTTTTACGTACTATCCCACCCCCTATAATCTCTATTAACCCGAGGGTAAATAAATAAATAAATAAATAAATAAATAAATAAAAATATTCAAAATTTCTTTTGGAGTAACCATTTCAAGCTCTTCATCGTTCAAGGATGCTATGGGGAGTTGAGTCACCGTTATAAAATAGAGTGGTTGTATGAAAATGCGGGATTATGAGAACCAGCTCTTTGTCTAAATTTCAAACAAAAAGTTCGGACGCATTTTTACAGAAGATGTGCATGAAATAGCTTTCGTTGTATATGGTTTATTCTCGAAGGAGCGTCTTTCCTTACCGCCTCACTGCAATTGCAGCGTGCAAGCGGGCATGCCACACAATTTTTAGGGGCGAAGCTCTTGAAGCCCTGGGTCTGTCCTTCCTCTTTGACCGAATCATAACCACCTTTGCAAACTGCCCACTACGACGTCCTAGCAAACATCCCACAATGCCCCATTACCGATCCGCCACTTCACCGACCATAAAGCCCCTTTGCAAACAAGATCAATAATTATGTAAAAGTAGATTCGTATAATACACGCACAGTTTCACGTCTTACTAATAATGTAAGGGGCTAACTTTCACGGGGAGAAAATCCGGTCGTAGCCTATCGGCGACATTTGCAGGCGTGTGTGTTGGCATTGCGCAGCTGCCTTTGTGAACGGCTGTGAATATTTCAAAATAAAAGTTTACTTGTATAGTATACGCACACTCTTACATCTTTCTAATGATGTAAAGGGCTAACATTCACGGGAGAGTTACGGTTTACCGAGGATCTCACCCCCTCAACAACTCCTGGCTCAGCGGCAGTGTTCCCCGAGAATGGAAAATTAGTCGATTATTACCACTTTTGAAATCGGGAAAATCACCATTGGACTTGACAGCGTATCGCCCTATTGCCCTCGCAAGCTGCCTCGGAAAAGTTATGGAAAGAATGGTTCTATTTCGTCTCGAGTGGTACTTGCAACGATACACCAAATACCCTTCTTGCATGGCAGGCTTTCGTCGGGGCCGCTCCTCCATTGACTGCGTCCTTGATTTATCGACATTTGTTCAACAAGAAAAAAGTCGCAAGCGCATATCAGTGGCACTCTTTCTTGACGTGAAGGGTGCATATGATAATGTAGCTCACGATGCCATCCTCACTTCTCTCACAGCAATGGGCATTGGTGGACGAATGTTTCAATGGATAAAAGATTATATAACTGTCAGGGGTTTCTTTGTACTAACATATGAGGGTACAACTGCCCAACATTACACCTACTGCGGAGTACCTCAGGGAGGTGTTTTAAGCCCCACATTGTTCAATGTGGCCCTCATTGGTCTGGTGAAGGTTCTGCCAAAATCGGTGTGCCTACCCATATACGCTGATGATATTTGCCTCTGGAGTGCTGCAGTTACTCGCCCTCAGGTGCGTGCACAAATACAGCGGGCAGCAACCCTCACAACAGCCTACATTCAGAAACAAGGCCTAAATATATCAACTGTGAAGTGCGCGTTGATGGCGTTTACACGCAAACCAATGACGCCATACCCTGTTTACATCAATGAGCAGAGTGTCAAATATGCACGGACGCATCGTTTCCTGGGCATAATAATCGACAGAAGTCTTTCGTGGAGCCCACATTGTGCGTACTTGAAGTAGAGACAGCTATCTATTGTGCATATCATGAAATTCTTGTGCGGTAAAGCATGGGGAACTTCTGTGGCCTCCATGCTACAGCTGTACAGGGCCCTATTTCTGGGTCTATTGCGCTACAGCTTGCCGGCACTGACTAACACTTGCAAATCAAATACTCATTCATTGGAGAGTTTTCAGGGTCAGGCACTGCGTATTTGCCTAGGACTGCCCCGATGCGCTTCTACTTATGCCACAATCATGCTTGCCAAAGACCATCCGGTCAGGACATATATAGCTGTGGATTGCCTCAGAGCGCACATTCGACATGCTAGCCGTGTCCCCGACCACCACTTGGCCCTTCTATCTTCCGGAAGACCACGTTCTACGTTTTCAGACGTCATAGCCAAGCACCTAAACAGCATTCCATCAGGATATACGCCAGCTGCGAGAACGGCATGTCCTTTGTGGTGCCTCGATCAGCCGCAAGTACGTCTAGAAATTCCGGGAATCAAAAAGAAAAGCAATCACTCCAGAGTGGCATTGAAGCAAGCAACACTGCAATTATTACATGATTTGTACTTAGACCGAACGCAGATATACACTGATGGGTCCGTCTCGTCCAGCAGCTCATAAGGTGCCGCTGTAATTCCGGCTGCAGCAATGACAATCAAGTTTAAGTTGTCGCATATGACTACATCTACGGCATCAGAGCTTGCTGCAGTAAGGGCTGCTTTACAATATCTCGTTCAAGAACGTCCAGGAAAATGGGTCATATTTTGTGATTCGAAGGCAGCGCTTCAGAGTTTGCAGTCTGCCATACGTAGCGGGAGTCATGACCAATTGGTACAAGAAATAAGACATTGCCATCATGAAGCTCTAGCACGAGGGCATGATATTATATATCAATGGCGGCCTGGACATATCGGTATTACCGGTAATCAATTAGCCGATGATGCAGCCAGCTCAGCCCATGAAGAAACCCGTGTAGTCCCGATTCCTCTATCAAGGAATGATGCAGCAAGACAACTTTACCTGCTGGCTCGAGATCTCACACGCACGTTCTGGTCGTCTACCAGCTTCCAAAGGTGTCAATATTATGAACTGGATCCTTCGCTCAAGCTAAAGCTACCATCACAACTTTCCCGCTCCGATACGACACTGTTATGCCGCCTTTGGTTGGGTATTGCATTCACAAAGGTGTACTCCTTTCGCATTGGTATGGCAGACACTCCTACATGCGACTACTGCGGAGATGAAGAGACCATCGAACACGTCCTGTGCAGCTGCGCTTGCTACGACACACAGCGATGCCAGCTACGGATGGTTCTGAATCGACTTGACCCCGGACCATTTTGTGTGCAGAAGATACTAGGACCTTGGGCATCTGCCTCAGTTGCGCAGAAAGCAACTAAAGCACTGCTACTTTACTTTAAGTCAACAAACCTGAGCGACCGCCTGTAAACTATGTGTGCTCCCCGAGTGTGCTCGTGATTGTGTGTACCTTCTCATCTTTCTGCAACCTCTTTTCTCCCCTTTATCCCTTCCCCAGTGGAGGGTAGCAAACCGGATGTGCGTCTGGTTAACCTCCCTGCCTTTCCTTGTATCTTTATCTCTCTCTCTCTCTCACCCCCTCGATCTACGCTCACTTATCATAATTTATGCCATGGATATGGCGTGTTTTTTTTTTTCACAGGCACCTACCCAATGAAGAGCATGAATACCTCATAGCTTGTAAACTGTCTAACTGGACATTTGTGAACCGATCTAGAATATTCCAACTGGAATTCCTCTACCCAGCTTCGCTTTTTTAAAATAATGGTCACATGAATTTTTCTTGCCAAATGAGCAATTAACAAAACACAACAACTGTGAGTCTTGAATGCAGTGACATTCATCTAGTCACGCCGTCATAAAGTGTGAGTCGACATCTCTAAAGCTCTTCTGATGTAGGCAGATAAAACTACTTCGTTCTTGTTACTGTGGGCCCAGCAGCATCAAAGTTCGGTACAGCAGCTACGATGTAGCATCGTATGTATGTATGTATGTATGTATGTATGTATGTATGTATGTATGTATGTATGTATGTATGTATGTATGTATGTATGTATGTATGTATGTATGTATGTCTTTGTATAATTGATAACACTGATAATGAAACGTGTTGCATTTGTCACGTAGGGTTCAATAATATTGTTTTTTGTCTTCACTTACTTTTGACTATTTCCTTGTTATTTTTCAATAGTGAGTATTACCATTATGTTGTGTATTGATCGTATTTTTATTGTTAATCAAGATTATTCATTATTACTCACAAGTCCCTATACTATTGCTGTATTTTTTGTAATTACCCCATCCATGTAGCCATAGGAGGTCCCCCTGTCAGTTTCTCTGAAACTTTGGGACCTGCTGCTGTAATAACGCTAACCATGTAACTCAACTGAACTATTTAATAAACTTGACTTGACTTGACATGTATGTATGTATGTGTACGTACGTACGTAGGTACGTACGTATATATGTATGTATGTATGTATGTATGTATGTATGTATGTATGTATGTATGTATGTATGTATGTATGTATGTATGTATGTATGTATGTATGTATGTATGTATGTATGTATGTATGTATGTATGTATGTATGTCATCGGAATGAAAATTTGCTAAACTACTTGATGTAGGAAAAGTAAGTTTCAAGCGCTTTGTGACTGTGCTGAATCGAAATGCATAGTACATGATTTTAGCACGCAGTAGAAGGGGCAGGAACAGTAAGCTCTATAACATTTTCCGATGCAGCAGGAAATTAAACCTTTTTATTTTCAAGCTTTTTGTTTTCTTTTTCCAACCTGCGGTACCTATACTATCGACATGCAGACTGCATGTACTACGTATCTTCATGCACAACCACTTGTTCTTTACGTAGCTGGCGTCGACTTTGAGACCTACTGCAAACCCACCTACGACAGTGGTCCCTGCAAGGGTTACTTTCCGAGGTGGTGGTTCAACGTGAAGACCGGTCAATGTGAGCAGTTTATCTACGGAGGTTGCCAGGGAAACAAGAACAACCACTTGACCATGAAGGAGTGCGAAACAAGATGCCTCAGGCGACTCAGTAGGTGTCAATGCAAACTTTTAGGTTTATTTGACCACAGCACACTTTGTGACCTTGGCACCGTTACATCCTAAGCAATGAAGTCACCCAAACTAAAGCACTCTCTTAGTGATGTAAGCACGTTTGCTGTGGTACTATAAACTCGCAAAGAACTCTCGGGAGAAAGGCAGTCGCAGCTCAATACTAGGACCTCCTTTGTATGAGATGGTATAAACTAATGTGACCATTGCTTGCCACAGGGTAAAATTCGTCGAGTGAAATCGTCTCTCTGGCAAGCGCGAATTCATCGACCTCACAAATGTGGGCTTGTAAATAATTTGCGATTTGCGAGAAGACAGCGAGGTCTGGACGGAGGACAGCAAATAGTGATTACAAATAAAAGCAGTTGCCTTTCCGGACAACTGCTTTTATTTGTGCCGAACAGGTTCTCAATAGCCACAAAAGTATTGTCGCATGACACACACACATGTCGCCAAAGGGTGTTATTTCATTACGCCATTAAAAAAAACAAAATTGTTTTTGATTTAAGGTGATAGATGTCTGGGTGATGCACGCACCTGTGTTTTGCGTGCATTTCATAGGCTGCAAGTCTCGCCGTTAGTTTGGCTTCTCTTTTTATACGGTATATCAGAAGTGTAAATTAATGGTCAGGAGTGGTACATTTTACAGTGTTCAGCCAGCTTCGAGACAGCTGCATTCTTGAGCTGCGCTAAATAATATATACAATGAGGATGTAAAAAAATATTAACAGAGCGGCATCTACATTCTCTGCTGATTAGAATTTTTTCAATGCGGTTGTAGCCTGTGTGATAAAAAAAGCTCTTGAATAGTCCATGATATATTTAAGAACCATTCTACTATCATTTCATTGTCACGAATATGACAGTTCAATAAAATCCGCACACCGCCCTGCTTACGTTTTACTCCTGATAAGTGAAGAAATTCATTCCAGATAGATGAACGAATTAAAATTTGTGTATTGGGTACAAAGCAGTGTATCTAATCCCTTGCTTAGAATGAAAACTTGTTTGTAGAGCATGAAAATTTGTTTGTTCGAGGTTACCGTGGCCCTTAGCCTTTCTTGATGTCAAACTTGCACTTCACCTCCTGTCAGACGTCACGCAGTCAACTATTAAAAACAACACTTGTTTAGATGTTGTGGTTACTGCATCACTGCCAATTCAAGCACAACCAACCGTGTTCAGTACATGTCGTATGGTTCCTAAGTCTCCTAACCTACCTTCGTAGCGCAAAAGAAGAAAAGTAGGAGGAAAAGAACGGCAAGGAGGTTAACCAGTCTATAAGCAGCTGGTTTGCTACCCTGCGCATGGGAGGGGAAAAGGGAAGAGGCAGATAGGATAGAGGAAAAAGGAAGGAGAGGTAAACACAGCACTTTGAGCTATGTGTCGCTATTGCCTTTATTGTTTCGGTCTACCGCAAAACTAACTTTTTTTCTACGTTACTTGCCGGCTTTCTTTGTTTGCACGTAGAACATTTCAATAACAGCACATGCTGGCTCAGTCGTTGTTGTGAGTTTCTGATGCACCAGCTTGTTCTCGAAATTAGTGGGGCGTTCTTAAACGTCTCTTGGTGGTTTGGGGAAAACTTGTTTAGGTTTCTTGTAGAGAGCAAAAATTAGATAATATTTACGGTGAATACTGTCTACGTTGGGCAGCTAGCACAATAATTTGGTATGGAGCAGAAGTTCTTATTTTTTTGGCATAAGAGGGGGGCTGTGAGCCCGGATGAACACAGTAAACGGAGTTCACTGTTACTATGTGTCTCACAGCCACACATAACTGTTTTGAAAGGAAACCCAAACTCTGAACACGACGATGTACTCCGATACATAGCTATTTCCTTTTCAAATGCCTTGAAGCAGAGACGTACCTAGATAAGCCATTTTTTTAATGATGAGTTCTAGTGTGGAAGGGGAGCATAGTATTGAGGTAAAACATTCAGCACACAGATGCTTGCACAATACCGTGCTCGGCCGGTTCCTTCATGACCACAAATTAAAAGCGGAGCGATAAAAGGACATGGTACGAGCAATGATACTGTCCGCTTATCCATCTATGTTCTACCTTTTTCTCGACACTCTGCCTTTTTTATAACTTGAATGCCTGTTTTTCTGTACATCTTTCTAGCTGTCTTCTTCGTGAAGCGATAATTCATCGGCGAAAGCATCGCGTAACTTTCGCAACGCCGAGCGCAAAGCAAAAAATAATCTCTCTCCCTTTAAGAACCTCATGCCTAGATCTGGTAAAGAGTCACGCCACAGTGGGAAGCTCCAGAAACTTCGTCCATCTTGGGTTCATTACGTTCGCCTAAATCTAAGTACGCTTCCCTTCATGCCTCCATCAAAATGCGTCTGCCTCTGTCGGTTTCCGAGCCCTGATTTGCGTATCACCAGCCAGAAACCATAGCCACTTGACCACCTTGGCGGCTAGTAGAGCATATGTAAAATTTTCGAGCCAGAGATTCAATAGGTGCCAAAAAAATTCGCACAAGTACAATCAGTACTAGTAAATTGTCACAACAAAATCTTCCGCCCTCACACGCGAGTTGTAGCGCGTGCAGATTGCCGTGCGAAATATACATTTCTTGACGATTGTTATGCTCGTATCCACTAATTCGCTGTTAACCACACGACGAATTCGTTCTTTTTTGCAGGCGCACTTGAAGTCTCGGTTGACGCGCTTTACCGGAAACACTGGAACGGGACCAAGTACAGCCCGAATGTGACGGTGGAATACTCTGCCGTCCTTCTCAATGGTCAGTGGCCGAGTTTATGCTGGTTATGTAGATGACCATTACAGCACACTAAACGAAAGAAAACGAGAACGAACGACTCGAGCGTATGACCCGTCGTTCTTTTCTATCCTGTTTTGTTTGGTGCGTTATAAAGATTACCATAAATCATTAACGCAACCAGTCATATGCGCCTTCAATTTATATGACTTGTAGTTTAGTGTACAATTCAGGGGAATCCCCTAAACATGAAAATGTGCAATAACCCGTTTCAACGAAGTATCAAAATCGGCGCTTGGCACTACTGTTAAAGATACTAAACGCGCCAACCTTAAGCAAGCTTCAGTTAATCTCCGACCTGGATGAAAAAGCAGCTTGTATAAGAGATTCTAAAACATAAGCAACTGAGGCTACAACAAGTGGTGTTATCATAAAGAACCCTTGTAGTGTATGTGATAACTGGGCCACCTGCTCACTCGATTTCAGTGTACATGCGAGGACTTTACGCGGGACACATAATCTGTTCATTACCAGTTATACTATTGTGGAAGACTTCCTGAGTTATGAAGCTGCAAGGGAAAGTCCAACTATGCTTATCTGGTGTTCTCCTAGACTAAATACTTTAAGTGGTGTTTTAGGGACCCTTCAGCTAAACTGTGCTAAATAAGCAATGTTATCTGGAAATAAATTATTTACTAATTTGAACACTTCCACATTCATTGAGATTTTGAGTCTACAATCGCACAGTCGGGTCCCTGGTGTAAGGAATGGACACAAAAGTGCTGTGTTTAGGTACGATTTGTGGCTCAAAGGACTTGCAAGCGCCGAGGAACGCCAAACCGAAACTAAAGAAGACGAGCGGAGGGCAGGTGGCACGAAGGCGATAACAAGAAATGGAAAAGAAGAGGAGAAGAAGAAGGAACGTGGAAAAGCGAGCTCGAGCGTGGAGGCCACGAAGGCAGACGAAGCAGTGCGCCGCTCGAGAGGACGAGTTACTGGGAGCGTTCCTGAGCCGGACGTGGGACCCGTACGTGTCGGCCAGGTCGAGCTCCGGCGTGTTCGTTCGGGGTCGAGTCCGCCGGCCTGTTCAAGGTGCAAGGACGGGGCCTGCTGAACGGCTTCTGCCTGGGTGCAGTGGCCGGGAGCAGGTTCGTGGCGAGGCCTACCGGGCGTGGTCCTCGTGAGCCGGGGCCTGACCCTGAACCTCAGGAGTTGCGACCCCGACTGCTGGCCGCGACGTCTGACTAAACGGCGCTGCACACGGTAGCGCATCCGTGTGCCGTAAGCCGTTCCAGCCGCTCCAGCCGTGCCACCTTTGCCCTCGCGCACGTCGACAATCGCATCATGTCGGGACGACGGGGACCCAAACTGTGAGGCAGCGTTTTCCTCTTGTGAACTGAGAACTCTACGCGCTGGACTCGGAGTAAGCGTAGCCGCGAGCTCTCCGCATGCTAGAGGTCTGACTCTCGTACATGTTGCGTGACGCTCGGCGTGTAGGGTTGGACATATAGTTTTATTTTCGCCTGCCATGACGTTCTCTAGTGTACAATATAACGCTTCTTTTGTTCGCATCCATTGTTGATGTGAATCCTTTTTCGTCCGCTGTCAACAAACATAGTGACGAACGTCCTTAACCATCACAATTTCTGGCGTCCGCGACAGGACTAAGCTCTCGCCTTACATCTGAGAGCCTCACGTTGTTTGTGTGTGGCGGACGAGAATGGACGACAAGAGGAAGCTAGTTGAGCTAGGGAAGGAGATGGGGCTGAGTGGTGAGGCTTTGCTGGCATGGGTGAGCGCTGAGGAAAAAGAAATGAGGGACCAGAGAGCGAAAGATCGAGAGGAGGCACGGCTAGCAGCACAGGTGGAGCATGAGCGTGAAATGGCTCGCATGGAGGCAGAAAGGCTCCTGCTCGAGGAGCGACGTCGTGTCGCAGAAGCGCAGCGGCCGAGCACGAGTTCTGCGGATGATAGTATGGGTGGTGGTCAGAGTTTTCGCAGCCCACACAAAATGATTCCGCCCTACAATGAGAGTAGGGACGAACTGGATGCGTACATCCAGAGATTTGAGAGGGTTGCCATGAGCCAAGGCTGGCCAACCGACAAGTGGGCCCTGTCACTGAGCTTGTGTCTAACGGGTGAAGCCTTGACCGTGGTAGGACGGATGTCTGCAGAAGACTCTACGGACTACGCAAAGCTCAAGCAGACGCTCCTCCAGCGGTTCCGTTATACAGAGGAGGGATACCGCACGAAGTTTAGGGATGCCCGGCCTGAGAATACTGAGACAGGTCGACAGTTCGCGGGACGTCTCTGTGGATACTTCGACCATTGGCAGGAGCTGGCGAAGACTCCCAAAACATATGATGCACTGCGAGACAAGATGGTGTCCGAGCAATTCCTCAGGCGGTGCGACGAGAAGTTGGCTGTCTTCCTGAAGGAGCGAGGATGTCATAGCCTGGACACGTTGGCAACAATGGCTGATCAATATTTGGAAGCTCAGGGAATTGTGAATCTCGCTAGAGGAAAAGACGAAAAAGGGAAACCGATGGCTACAGCTAAAGTTGACACTGTCAGCGAAAGCAAAGGAAAACCGCTTTGTTTTCTGTGCAACAAGCCGGGTCATCGAGCTTCCGATTGCTGGACAAAGTCTCGAGCGCCCAAGTCGACGTCGTGCTGGATCTGTAAGAAGTCAGGGCACAGATCCGATAGTTGTCCCTCAAACTCGGGAAAACGTAGAGAGGCATTATGTTCCGTCTTGGGATACCAGAAAGCGCAGCATGAGAAATCAATGGAAGATGCGCCTGACAATCAGGATGAGAAACATTGTCATGACATGTGTGATGGGACCCAAAGCAACGCAACTTGCGACAACGGGTCAAAACAAATGCCAACTGTAAAGGGCTATCTCGAAGGGAAGCGGGTTACCGCATTGCGGGATACCGGTTGCAATACAGTAGTGGTGAAACGATCGCTAGTTCCTGACTGCAACTTGACTGGCAACACCCGTACCGTTCGCTTATTGGACCGATCTGCAAAAGTCTTACCAGAAGCAGAGGTGTACATAGATTCTCCGTTTTTCAGAGGTCAGGTGCTTGCTGTTTGTATGGAGAATCCATTGTATGAAGTCGTGCTTGGCAACATTGCGGGTGTACTGTCAGCTGCCCAACCAGCCCCGAAGCAGCCAGCAGGACGTCGAAAACTAGCACAGATTCACCGTGATCCAGTATGCACTGAAGAAGAACCTGAAGATGCAACCTCATCAGATAGAAGACGACAAGATGACATGTCGGCGGCTGCAGGAAAAGAAAGGAAAAAGCCCAGTGAACTGATTGTTCCTCGGATCCAACCCCTGGATATCAGCCGGGAAGCGCTAAAGAATTTACAGCACACAGATCCCACGCTGAAAACCTGCTTCGCCGCATTGGGGAAGACCATATCTAAGAAGCCAGCAGTCACTGAGTTTGTGCTGGTACGCGACATTCTTTTCCGGCGCCACCACACGGCAGAAAGGCGAGACTTGGAGCAACTTGTAGTACCCAAGGATCTTCGAAACACCGTAATGAAGATGGCTCATGAAGGCCTTCTGTCTGGTCACCAAGGGCAAAGAAGGACAACAGACCGTGTCCTTACAGAGTTTTATTGGCCGGGTGTACGGGCTGATGTGATACGGTTCGTGAAGTCGTGCGACGTATGTCAGAGGACCGTGCCTAAACACCTCGTCGGACGAGTTCCATTGGGAAATATGCCTATCATAGACACACCTTTTCAGCGGGTCGCCATCGATATTATTGGCCCGCTGTCACCAACGTCATCCAAGGGCAACAAGTATGTCTTAACGATGGTAGACTTCGCTACGGGTTACCCGGATGCGGTGGCACTACCGAGCATCGAGACAGAGCGCATAGCGGAAGCACTAGTAGAGATGTTCTCCCGCGTTGGAGTGCCCCGTGAGATAGTGAGCGACCGTGGAAAGTCGTTCACCTCGAGTCTCATGCAAGAACTCGGTCGGCTACTTTCATTTCGTCAGCTACCCACAACGCCTTATCACCCCATGGCCAACGGACTTGTGGAGAGATTTAATGGAACTCTCAAACAAATGGTTCGCCGCATGTGTCAAGAACGGCCGCGACATTGGGACAGGTACTTGGCTCCCCTGCTCTTTGCATACCGTGAAGTTCCCCAGACGAGCCTTGGATTCGCGCCGTTCGACCTCCTCTACGGCAGATTTGTACGCGGGCCAATGTCGATCCTTAAGGAACTGTGGACAGGTGCCAACATCGATCCTGAAACGAAAACAACATACGAGTATGTTATAGATCTCCGGGAGCGACTGCAAGACACCTGCAAGGTAGCGCATGAAGAACTCCTGAAGACGAAAATGACACAGAAGAAATATTACGATAGGAAAGCAAGAGTTCGACACCTATCACCCGGCGACAAAGTATTGCTGTTGCTACCATCAGATAAGAATAAATTGATCTTGACATGGAAGGGACCCTTCACAGTGCTTGAGAAACGCAGTGACTATGACTACGAGATAGATCTCGGAACTCGGAGAAGTCTTTTTCACATTAACCTTCTCAAGAAATACCACGAAAGGGAGCCTTTTAATTCAGCGTCACGACGGCATGTTGCATCCAGTAGCCTACGCAAGCCGTAAACTGCTCGAACGGGAGTCACGGTACTCAACAATCGAAAGAGAGGCGCTGGCTCTTGTGTGGGCTATACAAAAGTTTCATGTGTACCTCTTCGGAAACCGATTCGTGCTGCAAACTGACCACCAGCCGCTTGCGTACATAAATTCCGCAAAACACATCAACAGCCGAGTACTCCGCTGGAGCCTATTGCTTACTGAGTATGACTTTGTGGTTGAGTACATTAAGGGCTCCGACAACGTAGGTGCCGACTACCTCAGCCGCATTTGACTTCTCCGCTGGTTAGCGTTTAGTGGTGGCACAATTTCTTTTCATGTCAATTCACCCTTTCCCTAACAGAATGAACTTCTGTAAATAATGTTTTTTTTTGCTATGCTTTCGCTTTTGGGTACTCCACCTCGCGCGCTTGTGAAAAGTTGTTTTCCCCCTAAACAACTTTCTTGAGCAGGGGGATATTTGTAAGGAATGGACACAAAAGTGCTGTGTTTAGGTACGATTTGTGGCTCAAAGGACTTGCAAGCGCCGAGGAACGCCAAACCGAAACTAAAGAAGACGAGCGGAGGGCAGGTGGCACGAAGGCGATAACAAGAAATGGAAAAGAAGAGGAGAAGAAGAAGGAACGTGGAAAAGCGAGCTCGAGCGTGGAGGCCACGAAGGCAGACGAAGCAGTGCGCCGCTCGAGAGGACGAGTTACTGGGAGCGTTCCTGAGCCGGACGTGGGACCCGTACGTGTCGGCCAGGTCGAGCTCCGGCGTGTTCGTTCGGGGTCGAGTCCGCCGGCCTGTTCAAGGTGCAAGGACGGGGCCTGCTGAACGGCTTCTGCCTGGGTGCAGTGGCCGGGAGCAGGTTCGTGGCGAGGCCTACCGGGCGTGGTCCTCGTGAGCCGGGGCCTGACCCTGAACCTCAGGAGTTGCGACCCCGACTGCTGGCCGCGACGTCTGACTAAACGGCGCTGCACACGGTAGCGCATCCGTGTGCCGTAAGCCGTTCCAGCCGCTCCAGCCGTGCCACCTTTGCCCTCGCGCACGTCGACAATCGCATCATGTCGGGACGACGGGGACCCAAACTGTGAGGCAGCGTTTTCCTCTTGTGAACTGAGAACTCTACGCGCTGGACTCGGAGTAAGCGTAGCCGCGAGCTCTCCGCATGCTAGAGGTCTGACTCTCGTACATGTTGCGTGACGCTCGGCGTGTAGGGTTGGACATATAGTTTTATTTTCGCCTGCCATGACGTTCTCTAGTGTACAATATAACGCTTCTTTTGTTCGCATCCATTGTTGATGTGAATCCTTTTTCGTCCGCTGTCAACAAACATAGTGACGAACGTCCTTAACCATCACACCTGGCTTTCGACGGAATTTCGCCAAACTATGAGCAAACAGTCGCCAAAAGTCGCCATTTTTCTTGAAGTGTCGCCATAAAAATGCCACTCTAGATAGGTGCGGTATGCTTAATAAAAATCAGAAATTAGGTCTAGCATCGTAAAAACTGTCTATAACTTCTAAGTTGAACTGGGGTTTTTCAGTGCCAGTGGCATCGCCAGCTTCACCATGGAAGTCCTTGAGGTACCTGGTCATCCGTTTAGCCGTGAGATGGGCTTTTGGGGCAAGGGTTACCATCTGTTATAAATGGAACGATCCTGATATTCTTACATAACAGTCCACTCATTTTTATGATGAACGTGTGGTACGCCTTGTGTGCAAAAACGAGACAGCGTTGTTCGTAGAGTGCGCTACGATCGGCGAACTTACTCATTAGTGGACTAACTCGGGCTCACTCAGGCCGAGATCAAGCCGTGAGTATGAGTGAGTACGGGTGAGTAATATTTCCGTGAGTTGGAGTCCCAGTAAGTTTGGTTGAAGAAAATTTTCGTGAGTGCGAGTCCAACTGAGTTCGGTCCTGGAAAATTTTGATTAGACTGAGTCAGAGTGAGTGCGAAACGCCATATATATTTTCTGAGTGATTCTGAGCGAGGTCCGCTTTCTCTCGCCAAGCTGTGCACCCCTACATGAATTAAAAGCTTTAATGAAAGTAATTAGACTATAATTATTAGAAAAACCACTCACTAATGATTCTTATACCTTTGGAGTACGAACTAATATGATACCGGCATTCACTGCCCATTTCTGATAGTCACTCAAGTAAACAGATATGGAATGCGAAATCGTACATTACAATGGTTTTCATGACGCGCTTTTGCCGAGAAAAATGAAATTACCCTAGTAAATCACTTTTTATTGCACACTCACCATGCAGCCTTCTCTCGGTCATGGTTAATCCTAAGTGCATGACCACGACACACTTCTCCAATTTCACGGAAGGTACCCTGCTAAATTCAGAAAACCCATGAATAATTTCTCGTCATTCAGAAAACCCATGAATAATTTCTCGTCATTCGGAGAACTTCTCCAGAAACAGCGTAGCTGGTTGACGCCTTTTACTGCAGGGAAAGGCCACAATTGATTTCTAAGATGCACTCCGAAAGGTACAACTTCATCCTATTGCGAAGTTGCGTGTTAGACAAAGTTGCATGAGAAAAGACTTTTTCCCCTCTGGAATTTGTAATTGGAAGTGTCAGGATACATCCCGATGGCTCCACTGGCCAGACAGGAAAAAGAGCGCACACCAGCGGCATCCCCGAATGTCAGCGCCTCATACTGAACGTTTGTGGAAGAATTGATTTAACTTGAAGCAAAAACAGAGCAAGAATTCACTGCAATATAAAAGGGGCAAAGTGCGTAGCCTTTGTTCAGATCAATTAACGAGTTTAGTTGCAGTAGAATCATACGCCCAATGATCGAGCAACCTTTTTGCGAAGAGCGGAAATAACTGCTACGCAAGTAAGGCGTGACCTTCGAAATGGCCGCAATACCTGTTCTGTGTGGTCATGCTAACACTACATACTTGCCTCAGTGCAGTTTCTGAAAGCTGTCCACAAAAACTGACTTCTTGGTCTGCGCAAAAAGTATGTTAAGAAAAATGAACTCTACATGCATAATTAGGGTGTACTAAACCAGTGACAAAGTCGACAACCTATTCAGAACAATTGAAAATATGTGATCGGATTACGCAGCCTACCCCTCGTCTAGCCACTTTTGACGAAAAAGTTTAGGGAAGATTATGGCACCTAAATTAGTAGTCTAACACCACCGCCACACGGCACGCTAAATAGTCCGCTGACTTACATTTTGCTGGGAGTTTGCAAGGGGAGGCACCAGTATCTCCAGGATCTAGATAAATTAAGGAGGTGACGCACACGAGAAACACGATGGATGTACTGTATTACGCTTTGAGTGCACCTTCTTCTTAAGTGCGGAACCAAGAAAAATAAAAAAAAATGTCACTCATTTGTTCGGAAGATAACGAGCATAGAATGCATAGCTCAGGCGAGACCTAAACCAAAAGTGGCCGAAAAGTCACCATATATATCAAGCAGAATTTTCGGTCGCCTCAGGCCTCACAAATTCGCCAATTTGGCGAAAAGTAGCAACCAGTTGCGACTCTGATGGCGGGTTCAAATTATAACCACATGAGCTTCAACGCCGAGAGTGTTCATGTCTCAGTGTCGCAATAAAACCTCGTATACTTATTTTCTGAAGCTTGGTTTACTGTATACTGAATGTTAGGGGTGAAGCGCCTTAGTATCGAGAATTGTACGTCCACGTTCGTGCCTGTCACCGGGAGATTCACGGATGGGAAACGTGGCGGAACGATATGAAGCACCTATAAGCACAAACCATTTATACTATAGCGGGTGACTTTAGCGTTCATGCTATGGAGCTTAGGGCCTACCTACCCTTGTCATCGGCACTCACTGTCGGCTGTCATGATAGTTAGAAATAGTTGCTACAGTCGAAAAATATGTGCGTATGCGAATAAAAAAGGGTTCAAAATGGACGAGCAAGAATCATTTAATGTGACGAAAAAATATGAAATACCTACAAGCTCGAACCCTTTATACTAGTCGGATAGTTCAACATAGAGATCATGGACCGCATGTTTGAGCTGTCTATCATGGGTGGGATGCGTCTTGCTCGTAGCACTGCTGTCGATTGCCGCTGACATAGTGCAAAATGTACCGAAGAAGCGCTTGACTTTCGTGGCCCATAAACCTTTCGTATTCGATTGAACTTGTCATATTATGAAAAAAAAATCAACCTTAACGCATTTCCCTATCATAAAATTTCTGGGTTCCTTTTAGTTTAGCACTCGCCGACGTTGGCTTCGCTTTACTTAAAGGTTAACCAAGGCGGGTAATGAACTCAAGCGATCGAAAAATTAAGCTTTCACACTGGCTTAAACACTCCTCTGATAAAGCTGGAGGACCAAAGGAGCCACCATGAGACACGAAAATGTAGATATTGTCAATACGTGGACGCTATCCACGTTTCGTTGCTGACCAGCGCTTCTAAAGCTGACACTTGAACACTTTAATTCGCTCGAGAGTGAATAAAGAAAACACTAAACGTCAAGTAAAGAAGAAGATGAAACGCAATACTTGCGCAGTAGTATTCCCGTCCAATTGTTTAAAAATATTGATTGTTTGACTACCCAATGGCGCGGAAATTGTGCGTCGTGTTCGTTTTGTCACACCTAATGACACTGTGGGGATTGGGGATTTCGCAGTGACACTGAACCCTGTGTGCAACAAAACAAAGTTCCCAGGACCTTGCAGAGGCTATTTCCCTCGTTATTACTTCGACAATGTGACCAAGACTTGCGAGAAGTTCATCTACGGAGGATGTCAGAGCAACGGCAACAACTTCGTCACTATCGAAGAGTGCAAGAAAACCTGCTGGGGTATGTGACCTTTAACCTTTTCTGTAGCTAATTTTTGAAACATTTTGACACTTCTATTTTGAGCTCATAAATTTGTACGCTGCGCTTGAAAAACAGACCTATATTAGAGTGCATGTCATGTTCTCGCTGTCTGACAAAATCAAATAAAACGTATATTCTGGCTTAGTAAACACACAACGGGCACCACGCTTGCAAGCAAAGTGAAAGATTGACAAAACTCGCGCAGCTGGGTACATTTGGGTGCACGAATCGAAATAAATATCTGAGCAATGCGTTATGTCTTTGAGACATCCAAAAAGTGGCAGATTGTATCACCTGTCCAATCGGATCTCAGCTTCAAAACGCGCAGAAATTGAAATATTGTGATTTGCTGTGAGCTTGGCATTGAAGTTGAGATATATACTCTATAAGTGTCACTTTAATATGTATATTTTAGTTATTAGAATGCTAAATAGTTTCATCTCACAGTAACGCGTATGTGTTGGCTATTTCCCTCGTTATTAATTCGACAATGTGACCAAAACTTGCGAGAAGTTCTTGCGAGAAGTTCTTGCGAGAACCTCTTCTATAGCCCATTCTAGTGGAATCGTGACATTTCAATTTGAGTTCATGAATCCACGAGGGGTGCTGAAAGAAGAAACGTTGAAGCTGTCATGTTCTCGCTATCGGCCAGAAAACGAATAACATACATTCATTTCTGGCTTAGGAAACCATGCTTCTAAAAAAGGGGAATGCTTCAAAGTATTCACGCAGCTGTGTACATTCAGGTGCACAAATTGAAATAAATATACCAGTTATGCGGGATATTTTGCAGACATCCATAAAGTGACAAACTTGTCGCCCTGTTAGGTCGGGGTTCAGTTACAAAACGTGCCAACATTCAAACATTATAATTTCTGATAAATCCTATTTGCAGTTTCTTAAATATATTCTACAACTCTCACTTCGGTTTACGAAATGGCATCAGCGGGATATTGGGTAGCCTGAGCTAAAAGCGTACCATACTGCATATCAAACATATTTGTTTAAGAGAAACAAAAACAGGTGCAGGCCAGTAGAAGATATGTTATCTGTTTTTTTAGTGGACAAACATACATGTCGGCCTTTCATGTGTGAGTCAACGCTTTCTAAGCCACAGTGGCTTCAATCGTTTATGTTTATCGGTCCCTGTTCATAAAGTAACACAGCGTGAATGTAGAATTATCACAATGCTGTTTACTCAACCTGCAGTGTCTGTTGCCGCTTTTATATTAAACACGTCGCTTAGAGTAAGTACATAAGGAGGCAAAGTAGTGAAATAGCTTTGGCAGAAGTAAAACCTAATACTGCATTACTTGTGCATGATATCATCAGTCTTTGCACGCAGGCCAATACAACCTTTGTCATAATTTGTAATTACAAAGACACATAGAATAAATACTCAATACCGCAAATCAGAACTGAACTGAAGTGCCCTGATTATTATCACAGTTTAGTTATTTTAGAATACAGTATTATGGGTATCTAAGTAAATGAATTGTGAATTATGAGTAAAATAAATGTAGTGAAATTATGAGAAGTGATCATAAGACATGGGCATAAGGTAAACCAAAGCTGAATGAAAAAACTTGGCGAAAGATGGCTGCCTTACGAGTTGAAGATAATAAAAGTGAATCTTTTGTGATATACTGGGAACGGAGTGCTCAGGCTGCGCAGTTACTCGAATTTGATACAACAATCAACGTGTTTAAGGTGGACATGATAAACATAATAAACATGTTCAGTGGAACCAATGGTAAATTGAATCAAAGGTAGAGCGAATGTGAATCAAGTTTTCGGTGACCAAGTCTGACCGTTTATGCAACAGGAGAAACCAACAAGCAGTAGGATATAACAACGATATTATCGGGAAAAGGAGACATAAATATTTCAGAGCTAGTGCGAGAGCAGAAGCTTTTGCCCATACTCTCATTAAACCCCAGCGGTGGCTCTAACAGTTATTATACAAAATTGCTGACCAGAGGGCTGCGGAATCGAATCTCGGTGGTGGCGGCCATATTACGTGGTATGCTAGAGTTAGACGTACAAAGATTCATTCGCACGTTAAAGAATTCGAGCTCGTCAAAATTTCCAGAGTTCTCTAGAGAGAGTACGCCGGCTCTCATAAAATGATTTTGTGATAAAATCATAACAATAATAATTCTGTGCTGTGTTTTTTTTCTTTACTCTTTTAATGCAGTGTCTCTGGACCAGAATGCTGTTGAGGAGATCGGTGCCTTCGAAGTTCCCTTCCATCCATGTAAGTACTCGTTAAGTATTAAGTAAAAACAATGCGATTGTCCAGTAACACACTACAGTAATAAAGCACCTACTAGGGGTGTTTAGCTTGTTTACACGCGTTTGTGTGTGTTCGTACGGGCACGTTCACATGAATGATGTTCGTGATCATGTGATAAAGTTTTGTCGTTCATACGTTCTGTCTGCAAATATTTATCTGTAGAATACCTTCATGATCTATCTTTCTAGTGCAGGCGCTTATAATATAAGAGTGTTGTATAGAGCGCATGTAACGAACACTGATGTTTAAATACTCCATGTTTCTTAGTTCATACTGTGCTTATAAGAAATAAATAAATAAAAACGTTTTCAAGTAAACCTAATGAAATAGGGGTCGTAAAGCACAACAGCGTACTTCTTCTAATAGAAAATGCCACAGTAGATGCTTTCGAATTAACTTTCATGGTTGGTGGCCATTTAGCGCATGTACACGGGCTCTTTTCTATTTCTCCTCTGTCAAAAAGCAGTAACCGTGTCCGGAAATAGAAATGACCTCTTCGTGCTTAGCAGCGTACGACTAGAGAGCCATTGGCACCACAGCAACGATTATGCATTTGCCTTTCTCAAATATTATGATAATTTAACCCTATAGTACAGTGAAGAACGTTGAAACATGAGCGTCTGAAACTACAGCAGTTGTCAACAACTGTTTAGCCCTTCATTTCATGTATCTATCGATATCGGTCTCGCTGGAAATTCAAAGAAGGTTGGAAATCGCATCGCAAGTTGATTGAACATCACAGTAGCGAGAATTCAACCATTAAAGTGGCTAACCAAGTTTCGACCCAGCGGTGAGAGGACAGGAAACGGGCCGGACTTGGACATATGAGCGCCGGTAGGCGAGCATATTCTAGATTGTTGTCGTTCCTCCGAGAGCGACTTCTAGAGCGTGGTCGTTCGACACAATGTGCACATCCAGCTACATGATATTGTAACATACGTTGCGGATTTCAAAGTGACAGATCTCATCGTATGCTGCGTCAGGAAAGCCATCGGTGCTCTGTTTTTCTAGAATGTAAAGTGCCATGCACTCCTGGTACAAACACGTTGCACCATGGCCGCGCTCCACGGGGTGCCAGCGTCCACAGTGCAGCAGCGCATCGAAGCTTATCGGTGCTAGCGCACGGGCATCGTCAGGTCTCTTGTGACGCGCCGGTTCGCGGTGCTTGCTTTGCCGCGAAACACGCCCAACGATGAGCATGACAACGGCGATTGAGCGCGCCGCAAGCCGTTTCGGTAAAGCGCACGTCGCTTACTGCAGCGTGATGCAGATCGCTTACGACGCGATGTGCGCCGTTTACTGCAGCGCGTCGCTTTATGTACCGTTATGTAAGTCGCAGTCTTTTAGCCGAATCGCATGTAAGGCACAGTCCTTTAACGAAATCTTCTTTCTTACATGATGAAGAGCTAGAAATGAGTTTTTGTTTATTACTTTCTTTTAATGTAACTTTAAGTGCGTCAAACTTTTTTCTGGCTAAACGTAGCTAGAATACCCCTGCTAAGACGACAACGGCTTACTTGCCATATTTTTTTTTCATTTTGAAAAACACACTGTGCATATCCTTCGTTCTCGAGTGGTCGCCATAATTATTTCCTCTTCAGCACGTCACAGTGTTAGCTCAATCTGAGCATTTTTTTGCTTATGAAAGTTCCTTTTTCGTATTCTTAATGAAACAACGTGTACTAATATTACCGTCACATCAATCCGCAGTTGCGCCACCTGAAGTGTGTACCTACCCGGCCGACTCGGGACCCTGCAAGGCATACATGCCTCGCTTCTTCTACAACACCGAGACGAAGAAATGCGAGGAGTTCATCTACGGAGGATGCGGGGGCAACGCCAACAACTTCCTCACCTTCGATGCCTGCGAGAAGAAGTGCCTGAAGGTCTTTGGCGTCATTCCCCGCGCCTAAGTTAGAAATGAGCTTGTCCAGTGAATCTTCGGAAGAGGCACGCCTTCAAGGACCTCGCAGTAATGACAATACAAATAATAAATAATGGAAGACCCGTATTCTATTTTTGATCTGTCATACGAATGTGAAACAAAAGTGAGACTGAAGTGTACTCCCTGGAAGCGCCCTGCCTTGTCGGTTTGCTATGGATATTTCACTCTTGTAACGCTGCAAGGTGAAAGCCTGGCTGTACTCACGTAAACGAAATGAGTTTCAATGATCATCTGCACATTCTTGGCATTAAATTAATTTGTGGGATGCCGCGACAACAGAGGCATGGATCCCGACAAGAAAAGATAATAGTTCATTCAGCTATAGAAGTTGCATCGCTTGAGCATTCTGACACTGCGCTCATCTGAGGTAGCGGAGCAATGGTAACCTTGAAGTATCCTTAAACTGAACGTATTCCTGAATATCCTGTGCCGTCCTCGCCATTGGTGAGTGGAAAATGCCTGTGAACTGAAAGGATCATCACCTTCCCCCTGCCCCCACCCCTTGTCGCAGGATTATTTCATGAATCAATATAGTTGTTTATCTACCTACCTATATGCACGCAGAAATTAAATTCATACAAATACTTCATCCATCTCGTAACACTAAGTTGCAAGCAATAAAAAAACTGGCATTGGCTCCTACTGCCTGAATTGTTCACATGAAATGGTTCCCACGAATCTGGGGACCTGCCAGGCAGATAATGCTCACATCGAATAACCTTGAACAAGCTGCTGAGCAACGTTAAGGTTAAAGAAAATAGGATTTTTAGGCAGGCCACTCAAGAGATCACCTTTAAAGGACGACAGCGGCCAGGTCATCTTTCTCCTGACATCACAAATAGTTGTGTATGCTGTCGGAAGCATTTTATATAGGTTCAGAACTTAATGCAGCAAAAGTTCGAGCGATACTAATGACTAAAACATACCAATACAGATAGGACACAAGGACAAGAATAATCGCTACAAACTTACCTCGGTATTCCCTGTATCATTCGCACTGTGTAGAAAAAAGTAAGCAATGGTTTCGGTTTGTATTATGACCCATCGAGTCTCGGTGGTCGTACCATCAGAGCTCGAAACCGTTTCAGCGTTTCAGGGGAAAAACTATGGCGCTAAACAAGCTGCTGTCAACACGGTAGACGAAGCCGAACACCAAGTCTGGCCAGCAGATCCCCAGATGCAGATAGGATCTGCATATATGAAACGTGCATTGTCTTGGGCACACATTTGACAAGGCCAACGGGCACAAGGTTTATTAGTGTAGCGCTGATCACACCACCATGCGGCGAACTATGGCTGCTGAACCAGCAGCCTTCCCTTGCTGATCTTAAGTTTGTTATAGACCAGACGAAAAATTTGTAGCTTTTATATCTTCAGTGGTAGTAAATCAGTCCTTTGAAACATCGAAACATCCCTTCAGTTTTGCGCATCATGTCTTACAAAAGCAGCTCAAAGCGAAAATCAGGCAAGTTCATCACGAAGTTCGTGCTTTTTATTGCGATAGCAATTATATGAACACTTTCGATTGAATTTTGCCGCAGGCGTCGGCTTTGACGTCCACTTGGTCGTTGCCGGCACTCACCATATATGTATACGTATCTACATATGTGAAAATGCAAGAAACGAAAAAAAATCAGAAAAAGACTCCAGCGCGTGGAATCAAACTTGGCTTCTATGAATCCTGAGTTAGAGGTGTTAACCACTGAGTCACCGAGGAGCACGTTGTTCATCGTACAAATGGTAAGATATATATATATATATATATATATATATATATATATATATATATATATATATATATATATATATATATATATATATATATATATATGCACTCCTACTTCTAAATTCACATATAAACCCAAAAACGTGGATGGAGGGAAGGCCGCTGTGATAGCTCAGTGGTTAGGGCATCGAACGCCTTATTCGAAGGTCGTAGGTTCGATTCCTGCTCACGACTGGTTATTTTTTCACCCACTTTTCTTTCTTCTTATTTACATTCCATTGGTTCTAATAACTTCCCCTATACATTCCTTGGCATTACTGTCTGTTAGATCTCATTAATATTGTGTCAAAACACGGAAAAACAAGCCGTGTTTGTGTCAAAACACGGAAAAACGAGCAACATCGACGCGACGTGGCGGCCGCGCTCTCATCTCCCTCGCGCACTTTGCCCCGCACAGAGCAGGTGGTCAACGCTCACTCGCGCGCCCTTATCTTATCTTACGTATTGCCTGGCGTTCAGCTTTTACCGGAACGATTCTGTTTTAGTTACCCGGCGCACAAAGGTCATTGCAATTTTGCACAGCCTACGTTAGGCGGAAATGTTGTAGGCCCGTGTACTCAGATTTGGGTGCACGTTAAAGAACCCCAGGTGGTCAAAATTTCCGGAGCCCTCCACTACGGCGTCTCTCATAATCAAATGGTGGTTTTGGGACGTTAAACCCCACAAATCAATCAATGCACAGCCTACGTTTGCGAAAAGAGCGTGCTTCTCACACACAGGGAAGAAACCACTGAGACCCTTATTCGCGTTCATTTGTGCATGAGAGTACGTTTCGTGCGTCATTTGTGAGAAACGCGGGGCAAGTTTCGATCTGCTGGCCATTCTGCGCTTGACCTTCCAATTTGTTGCTATTGCGTTCATTATTTCACATTTGCGGCAAAGCTCTGACTTTTCTTTCTGTTTTAGCAGTGGCCTATGGTCCTGGGCATTTAGATAAATGGCCAAGTGGACGCAGCTGCCCGATACGCTAATGACGCCGTCAGCAGCGTCGCCATTCGCTTTTCAAGAACTGACGCTGTAAAAAAAAGCTTTGAGCGCTATCCCGTCGGCTAACTCTGAAACTTACAAGTGTGTGCCTGCAAACCTTTAGTCCTGACCTCCAACTGCTTATACTGTCCAACCTGTTATGACGTTGCTCCACCCTAGCTGTCCGTCTGTGGCTTGTAAAACGAATAGGCCTTCTCAAACGCCTATTAATTTTTTATTAGAATGGATGATAAATCGCCACGTGAAGTCTGAGGGTGTGGCGATACAGTTGCACACCTTCTTTGCGAGTTCTCCTGGGTGAACTGCGAAATGCAGCCCCTTCAGCACACTGGGCCAGCAGGAGAATTACCCTCACACAAAGAACAAAGTCCTAGGAACTTAGCCTACAGCTCCAACACGGGTCGCTTTGAGGGCTTTGTTTCGATTTTTTCGAGCAACCAGACGTGATGACAAACTAACTCTCGAGGCGTTGTTGATGTGCAGTACTTCAACAGTGCCAAAGCGAGTATTTTGTTTCACTTCCTTAGCCGCCTATTGTAGTCACAGACTATTGTTCTCTTTTAATGACGCTTTTGCAACGACTTTCCCTTTCACAAGTACAGCGTAGCCAGACGTATGCTTCGTTTGGTGAACGTACCTGTTTTCATTCCCTTTGCTCCTTCCCTTCCTGATGGCCTGTTATCCTCTCTATCGGGCCTTTTAACAGAACGCTTCCATTCATCAAAGAAGAACGTCCTCGCGCCTCATCCAGATGCAGCGCTGGGTATGTGTTTACCAAAGCAACCATTCTTTTTTTTTCTCTGTTTCTTGAGACAAACGAGACAGTGGGCAATGACCTTCGTCGTGTGTTTTACTTGAAGCCACGTGCACAAGGAGTTGACAGTGAATCTCTTTGTGCACAGCAGCAAGCCGTGCTCTGGGCTCACTAGCTCGGTCTTTGTGTCGTTGAGTTCGCAACTACTGTGACAAGGCTTTTGCAAACGCCTATTCTAGGCTCTTGTGAAATCTGCTGGAAGAGGGATACTGATAAACACTTGCCGACAGCCTTTGATTCTGTATCGTTGAAGCTGATAGCCCATTCTGATGAGCCAGCATTACAACACTTGATTTCACCGCCCGCTTGAAAAATTAACGACAAGAACTGGACGCGCGTACCGTGCTCTCTGCAAATCCGACCTCCAACTATATTCGGTCATGACAGTTGTGGGCCCGAAGTTTAGTATACAAAGTTCCCAAGAGTGCTGTCCATGCTGTTTGATGCCATTAGAGTTCGCCTTCAGTGGTAAACAACTGTCCATCTAACTTAGACCCTAATTACCTACATGTGCAGAAGCAACGAAATGGCAATTCAAGCATTGGTCTTTCTTTACTAGGTACACATTTGACCATTTGATGAGAATCAACAGACAGCCAACTCTAGGAAAGTATAGAGGATGTTAATTGCGTTATTTATAACAAACATGAAGAAATTTAAATGGACGAAAAGACAACTTACCGCCAGCCGAAACCAATTTTGCAATCTTCGAATAACCGATCCGATGCTCCGCCAGTTGCGCTATACACAGGCATCATTTTCCTGTACACTTTTTCGGGTATATTGAAAATACATAAATTTAAAGTAGGTGTATATATGTACGTTATAAAATGAATGAGAGGACAAACGCCGAGGCAACTGCATCGGTAGCGTATCGAACTCTTTATCAGGAGGTTGCAGGTTCGGCCTCTGGTGGCGGCAAGTAGTTTTTTTTTGTCTTCAAAAGTGTTGAGGCAATAGCGCGAAATAACTAGTGCACCATAAAATGTGGGCAACTTGGGTCAGCGCTGTTGTTCATGAATGAAATGTCCTCATGAAAGCAAACAGTCCACCACAGAATAGCAGTGCACTTATAGTGCTCAGCTTCTGAAACGAAACGACGGCCACGGGTTCAGTCTCAGCCAAAGTGGATGGTCGCATTCCAATGAAGGTGAAATGGTAGAGGCCTGTGTAGTGTGCACTTTCAGTTTACGTTAAGGAACACCAGTCAGTCGAACTTCCAAGAGTTCTCTAGTGCGTCCTCTTTCCTAATCATGTCGTGGTTTTGGAACGTAATACTCTTGGTGTTATATTATTAATAGAATGGCAGCAAACAATTAAAATCAAAGCTCCAGTAACTATCAAAGCCCGGCGTCCTGTATGAAAGTAAAGTATTCTACCACAGACCAACGGTAGTTCTTCAAGTTGTTTCACAAAATGACCCTGTACATGCGTCTTGTCAGGAGAGCGTCCAATTTCAGTACCAACACACCCAGTAGTTCACCCGAACAATTTGGGCGTCATTGTCTGCTATCGGCACTTTTCTGTCCATTCAATGATAATGCAGTATATATTTATATGACTTTTCAGGCTATAGTCTGGAGCAGCGTCAATATGTTTACGACTGCTGAGTACGACACGCACATCATCACAGTGTAGTGTACCATTCGTGGCGGTGAAACCGACCTCACTGCTCTTTCACAAGAGTCTCGACATTACTACAGTTTATACGCCAGCGTACAATGCACACCCGGTAAGCATACGATATGCGCACATCATGTCCGTTTACACGAATGCGATGAAACATCTGAAAAAATTTCGGTGAAAGCGAAAAGTCTGGCATAGACTGCTGGTCGCTGTATGCACCGCATGAAATGGATTTTCTCGGTGCATGGTATCTGCCACTTTATTTTTGCCACGCTGCAGAGTGTGGAATAAACCAGCGCAGTGGTTAAACCGCGGGATTCTACTTCCACGAGTGAAACCGTGGTATTTGATACAATCATAGTGGAGTCTGGAAGTTTTCTTGTCACTGGCAAAGTCGCAGCTGCCACCCGTACCATGCGGACGGAGGTCCCATCCGTGTGTCGCGGAAACTGTAGAGTGATACATGGGTTGTGATGGCCTGTGGTCACCGAGATTTTCGGACTATACGGGGTGTAGCTGCAGTTATTTCCAGATTGTCATCCGCTTTAGAAGTTCGCTCGTAGGTGTGTCGAAAAGATTTGTCGCCGGGAATTCGAGAGTAATGTTGAAACGCTCGTTAGCAACCTAGAGCGGCAGTGAGCATGCGAGACAGTTGTACTTTAGAGTCTGCAACATGATTGGTGCTACGGCAAACTGGCGTCGACTTGGGCAATTCAGAGATGTGGGTCCACTAGTCACTACTAATGTAACTGCACAGAAAATGCAGCCACGTCGAGCACAGGTGCAGGGGTGAGTCAATTATTGGCATCCGTGGTGGTGGTTACGGGGTGACCGCTAGAAACGGCGTGGCTGTCATCAGCCATGACCATATTCCAAGGTCCCCAATTGTGGGGCGTGCGAACGAAGGGAGAACGACGGGCCACAGTAAATAGGAGCATTTTCTAGAACAAAACTTTAGCGGACGCTCGCCTTTCGCCGCTAGAAACATTACCTGTGAGAGTGTCGCACGGATTACTCCTGTATATAAAGCACCGCGCCTGCTTTACTTTAGTTTTAGGGGGTAGTCCTTTTTCCATTAGCCATCACTTTTTCTCTTCTAGAAGTCATTTGTTTCGCGCTAATACAGACACAATACAGACGCATCACAGACAGGTTGGCTACGTGCACAGGTGAAGTATACAGTCTCATTGCACCGCCTGAGAAGTCGCATGAAGCCGCTTCTCAATGTCTTTGCCTGAGCTTGGGGACCGGCTTCCTGATAACATATTCTTCGCACAAATCTTGCTTTTCTTGTTGTTGTGCAGAAAGACAGTTCTTTATCTCTGTTTTGCCTGGTGACGGCAGCGGGTTCACAGATGATATAAGGTGTGATGGTTGAGGTGCGGAGGCATGTCGCTTCAGATATTGGCGGAGGCAGTATGAAGCAGCTCCCACTATTGGCGCTGTTGTGCGTGGTTGCTGGTGAGTCGTAGCACTACGTTCCGGAAACTGCACTGTAATTTAGAAAAGGTTGAAACTGTCCCCTTTGAGTCGTGGTTGAGTGTTTTGTTATGTGTGTGTGTGTGAGGGGGGGGGGGGTGGAGTAAGCACCAAAAGTTTCCGTAACATATTCGTCCAAAAAGTTCTGCATTACCTCCCAGGATATCGTAGCGTCACTTACCACCTCACGCTATAGCATTGTTGCTTTCGTTTATTTGGGTGTTACGCGAGTGACTACGATTGTGCCAAATTTGGAGCTGATAGTCAGAACCTCGTTGTGTGAAATGTTGTCTAAAACGCATGCAGAGACGGTAAACATTGCTCAGCGACACTACGATGACTAAGGATGATCTAAAAGTCGATTTTTTTATTGACAGCAAACCTTCAGGATGCGTAAAGTATGACGCATAATAATCGAATTCGGCTGTCAAAGCGCAGCACACCAATAGGCTAATACAAATTGTTTGAAGCATCTCACGTCATGAAAATTGTGGAGTTCTTTGCGTTTGAAATGTCTGAAATTAAACGGGGACATAAATATGTCAGCACACTTTGCACCACATTTTCGGAAAACGTGAATTGAACGAATAAAACTGTTCCTGGAGGGCGTTCGAAGGAATGTAACGAAGTCTAACAAGTGTGATGGAGCAATTATATATTGATTGTTTCTTAAAGCAATTGAAACACCATTTTTTTGTTTTGAAGAGTCAGAATTTAAGTTAGGTGCTGTCAATGTGAAAACGTAATAAAATGTCAAACAGTGATATAGCGAGGACATGGTTCAACGTTTTAGATGAAATTAAAAGGAAATATATTGTAAATTCACACAATACCGGTCTTCTAAATGAAGCACAATCAGTGAACCGCAACATTGGAAATACATTTCTGTGTAGTGTGTACGCCAGGCCTCCTGGCGGAGCCATTAAGATATGTTGTAATCTGCACAGTGCTGATTCAGGTTCGATAGAAATAAGTTTTGCATCGTTCCACTACATCGCAAACATTTAGTTCTATTCTGATACAAGTGCGTTTCAACACTACACGCCACTGTTTCGATATTCATTCTCATCCCCCAATGTGGAACGGTGGAGATAATAGGAGCGTTCTCAGCAAGTACGCTGTACTCACACACGGAAGTCGTTTTTTATCCAATTTATTGAAGGTCGTCAACACCTTGAATCAGTAGGTATTTCTAAATTGACGCACCAGCTCATGTATTTAAAAGGTTTAACCTCAATATGGCAGTAAGGCGGCGAATCTCTGCGATAAAGCGCTTTTATACTGTGTTCACAAGTGTTACTTGGTTTTTGTAATGCACGGATGTAAATATGATTTAACGGCAGAGGTGTTGCGGACACTATTTAGAGCTGTAGTGTTAAAAGATCATACAAGACACTTTACGGAAATCTTCAGCGTGAAAGTTTTGTGGTGTCCGAAAGTACACGTGTATAAAGTTGGCGCTGTCTGCGGCGCCAGCGGTCTTCCCTTAATAATGCCACACCACCACCGATAACCGTATTTGCACGCATCGCATCTTTTTGTAGGCTTCACTTTCTTTTCACGAACTGAACGCCAGCACGGCCTCCACGTGTCCACATTTCAAGAGGAATGAAGCAACACTAAACGCCGCTATCACGTGCGGAATCGCGGCATGAATTCTGATGGGGCGGTCGCAGTGGGCTCGAATTCTGAAATCTAACAAAACTCTTCAGAAAAAACCGGCCACCTGCACTGGCAAGCCGCTGAATGTCGTGAAACAGGGACATACAAATTCACACAGAAGCCAACGTTTAGCAGTACCAGTTTACCATTACGTGCATGCTGTGTCGTGTTTTCTTTGTGAGCCAAACGTAGCCGTGCCCACAAGGACAAGGACACTTCTACCACCAATGCAGTTGAAGCTTGGTTTGAAATCTTAAAGCGACATGTACCTTAACAAGGAACATCATATTTCGACGGTGAGAGACAGTTCATCTAACGGACAAAGATGGACAAGTTGTGGGCATGGTCAGCCCCATAGTCAGTGCTATTCGTTTGCTTCTCAGCAAGATGCAGACACCGATAGCCCGGAGAGTGTTGCAACTGCTGGACACCATCACTACAGTTCTCGCAAGCTTACATAAGTCTATCGGCTCAGAACACCACCAGCGCCACCCTGGCTTCACCCTCGACATCATTTTGGATGTATGTATAACTGTGCGTACAAGTTGCGTAAAGCAACGAATGCGCTGTTCTGATTTAAGGCACGGGACTGACCTCACCATCTGTGATGCCATGCGCGAAACTGCTGTAGCATAGCCGGCTTCAGTGCTTTTTTTCTTCTCTTCGAGTGCGAAGGTTTGGACGGGGGTTTTGTGAAGTTTTATCAATAAGTATGTCTGAGGCCCGGTTTCCTTCTTGACAACACAGTGCCTACAGTAGATTTCTCGTTAGCAATAAACAGAACGAACCCGCTGTTATTTACATCAGTGCATACGTTACACCTCAAGTGAATTCATGGAAACAAAGAAAAAAATAGAGGGCACCTAATATCCACTTACTTTTTGTGCTTACTACTGCACTTATTCTTCACTGTGTACAGTGTAATCAATTGGCTTTGTTGTTACCACTGAACAAAAACGAAATATCGTAATTTTGGAGTGGCTAGGCATCATCTCTTGAACGTAGCATGCAGGAACCGCACCCTTTAACGCACCTGCGCGTTTACGAAACAAATAAGCAACTCTGCAAATTTAAGAGGAATGGTACAGCTTGCTAAAACTCTCAGTACACTTTCAACTTACAAACTGCGTACTATAAGCAGTACGCCCCCCCCCCCCTCCAACCTCACGCTGTGCTTGAGCATCGTGAATCCACTCACTTTTTACAGCTGAGACTGAGTACGAAGCTCCGTGCATCAACGGACCATGTGCGTCACCGGCCTCGACGACGTACGTCTACCCATCGTGGGATGATTGTGAGTGTCTTCGGAGAATATTGTTAAGCGATCTATTCAACTCGCATGACAATATAGTGACACGACTTTGCAGCCTTTGTGGTGCAGCGGCTATGCGGATCTTTGATTACATTATTTTCATAGCGCGGTGATAAGCTCGACTTCTGAAGGGCTTTGTTGGAACCATATAATGCTATCACCCTGCCATAAAAAACAAGATTTTTGATTACCTGTGACGTGCGCTAACTTTGAGCACGGTGATATTTAGGCAATGGTGGAGCTGATTCAATCAGTGTTCGTCCGACGTACCTGCTTGAAAATTTGCAAGTAAACCGGTGTAAACTCTCGCGATTCCAAGGTTGTTTTCTTTTTCATGCCCCTTGTGCAGCTTGGCTCAACATTGATATCATTTTGGCACCTAAGCAGATGAGCAATTAAAGTTCGCGCGCATTTCAACTCAAATATCGGATCGCCACAGATGTGTGTAAGTCCTGATGTATTGCTATGATGGCATAACGAAGAAGCATTATCTCGATAGATGTTGAAGTACGGCTCGCACATAATTTTGAAATCATGCGTGGCAATAGTTAAATGGCCATTTCTATATTTCAGATGACTTTTACAGGGGCAAGCTCATCACTAGAGTCGGTAAGTGTAAATTTTATGGCACTAAAAAAGAGAGTAAAACACGCTTTAAAATAATACCTGCCCTTTGGTAGCGTGACAACGTCACTTGGGCGGAACTTTACTGAAAAGTTTTGTTTTAAAGATTGTTTGCTTTAACTGTTTTATTTTAATTACAGTACACTGCAGTCACAAAGGACCATGCCGGTGGAAAAATTATACAAACGTAAGGTAATAATCACAGGCGTAGCCGAAGAGAACACAAGCTCACAAAAGAATCTATCGCATATCTATAAAGATTACAAAAAATATCCAGCTTAGCCTAACTAGACAACAAGATATTACAGTTTACAAGAGAGGGACGCATATATAGGATTTAGAACACACACTCGCTCGCTCGCTCGCTCGCTCACTCACTCACTCACATCACACACACACACACACACACACACACACACACACACACACACACACACACACACACACACACACACACACCACACACACACACACACACACACCACACACACACACACACACACACACACACACACACACACACACACACACACACACACACACACACACACACACACACACACACCACACACACACACACACACACACACACACACACACACACACACACACACCACACACACACACACACACACACACACACACACACACACACACACACACACACACACACACACACACACACACACACACACACACACACACACACACACACACCACACACACACACACACACACACACACACACACACACACACACACACACACACACACACACACACACACACCACACACACACACACACACACACACACACACACACACACACACACACACACACACACACACACACACCACACACACACACACACACACACACACACACACACACACACACACCACACACACACACACACACACACACACACACACACACACACACACACCACACACACACACACACACACACACACACACACACACACACACGCACACACACACACGCACACACACACACGCACACACACGCACACACACACACACACGCACACACACGCACGCACACACACACACACACACACACACGCACTCACATCCTCACCCTTCCACTTCAATTTCTCCCATAATAGAGTGCGAAACATAAAACAGCTGACAACTGTAGAAAGAAAACTGAAAACAACTACAGCAAAAGCTCTCCCCTAACGGCATTTACAACTTATGAAGTTCCACTAATTAAAGAAACAGTAAAAAATGACAAAATGCAAAAATAAAAAGCATCGAGAAAGAATAAAAAGTCACACGAACACTCAGTTCTGTCTAGTGCATTCTTAGATGGGGAAGTAGCGCTCTTTCAAATGAACTTGCAGATTTTACAGAGACAATATTTTTATGCAGCGAATTCCAATCGGAAACAGTTCGTGTAAAAGAAGAGTACTTAGAAAGATTAGGTCGTGTTTGATAAGAAAGTACATTATGTGCATGTTGATTTCTGAGCGTGCGTGACATAAATGGCTGAAGGTACGCACGCACATTGACATTAGGCTCGTTGTGATAAAGAAAAAATAAAATTTAAGTCTTGATATTTTCCTGCGCTTCTCTAAGGTTGTAATTATATTTGCAAGCATAAGAGGCGATGGTTAAACTCTTTTTTTGTATTTGTTAAATATGAAAGTACTGCACGCCTTTGTATACCATCTCGAGCCTATGCACATCTTTCTTGTAGTGAGGATCCAAACTACGCTGGCGTATTCAACTTTAGGTATAACATAGGTTCGGTAGGCGGGAAGTTTTGCATCCGGAGGCGCATTTTTCAGTTTGTGCCTAACCCCCGTATTCACAAACGCTCCTCGACTCGACTTTCACCCTTCACTTAACATAGTTAAGCACTGCGCCACCACTCGACCGAAAATGACGCTGCGCTACTCAAGAATCGCAGTAGACTATCGCAGATATACAGTCACTTGCTGTACCTAGAGATGGCACTCCCATTGGCTTTCTCAACTGAAGGCGAAGCGTTGAGCGAAGGGAGGTTCTAGAATACGGGGGTAAGTGCGCTACGTTTTCGAGTAGCCACTCTACAGATGTATTCGATGTGGGAGGACTATGTAAGTTTGTTGGAGATTGTTAATGTGAAATATTTGTACCATGTGGCTTCTGCGGCGAAGTCATTACTAATTTTATACGTATATAATAAAATGTGTCTTCTATTGCTTACGCGTGGCAGCACAGTTTTCTCGGAATTAAGTGACATTGACCATGTTGCGCACCAAAAATGTTGTGCACCAGGTTGTGCACCGGAAAAAAAAAAGAAACTAAGACTCTAATGCCACTAGAGAGTCAATCAATATTTACAAGCAGTGCTTAGCGCAGACACTTCTATAGCTTTGTAACCCTCTGGGTTAGCTATCTCACCCGATAATTTGCCATTAACGCCTGAAAGTGACGTACGTTTCATAATATAAATTGAGTTCGACGAAATTTGACTCAATTCCAGCTTATAAAATTTCCGCGTTGTGTTTTAGTTCACCATTCATCTACCTTAGTACTGTTTTAGCTACAGATTGACCAAGCTTTAAATTGAGCAAGCCTGAAATGAACCTGAATTACCTCCCAATGAGCTCTCCCTTCAAAAAAAAAAAAAAAAAACACACGCCGGTTATATTACGCTGCAGGACCGGGAAAGCCTCATGAAACATGGAAATTTCCGAAATTGTGTTGACGTAAGTGATGTTTCGCCGCTGATATCCATTTTGAAGCTGGAGCCTAAACTACTGCTTTGCTCGTGTGTGACAAAAGAAACAAAAAAAAAACATCAGGAGAAGCGAAAGATGAGAAGAAAGTTTTCGATAGTACGATCCCTTTTAAAGTTATGCGAGAATTTTTGTTGTTATAATATAACGCTACACTCCAACCTTACACCGCGTTTATTTTGTCGCACTGTATGACACCATGCGCACTGGGAATGTTGCAGGGACAGTGAACCCTGTGTGCAACCAGACCAGGGAGCCAGGACCGTGTGGCGGCCACTATCCTCGCTATTACTTCGACAACGTGACCAAGACTTGCAAGAAGTTCGTCTACGGAGGATGTCGGGGCAACGGAAACAACTTCGTAACTATCGAGGAGTGTAAAAACACCTGCTGGGGTATGTGATCAAGAACCTCCTCTAAAGCCCATGTCGAATCCCTCCTGAATGTATGAAATCATCAAGGCGTTACGAAACTAAAATTTTTATTACGTAATCACGTTGTTATCTGTCGAAAACAAACATCATGTATCCATTTCTGCGTTACGAGAAACGCATCGGACACTGCGCTTCTAAGGAAAGTGAACGCTTCAGAAAACTCATGCGGCTCTAGGGCCACCAATTTAAATAAATGGCTCAGCGATGCAGCATGTTTTGTGAACATCCATAAAGTGGTAAACTCTTTACCTTGTCATATCAGAGTTCAACTCGAAATTGTGCAGAGCTTTGCGCATTGTCGTTTAAAATATATGCCATTTTGAATTTATGAATAGCCAATAAGCCTCACCTTGATTCGCAAAACAGCATGAGTAGAATTCTGATTTATTTAGCTCACATAGCAGAGTATTTACCTGCAATTCAAGCACTATAATATTTGGATAAAAACTAATGAGAGCAATTTATAGGTCACATGTACTTAGGTCCCACGGCAGGCACCAGTAAAAGTCAGCCTATTGCGTCTCTCGCGGACACTTTCTCAGCTTTTGTGTTTCAATCCTTTGATGCATCTCCTTCAATTTATGTAGCAGCACAATATCAACGTGCGGGGATCACAATGCATTTGACCGAACCAGTATCTGTTGCAGCTTCACATTACGAACGGCGCTCAGAGTGAGATACGCAAGGAGGCATTAATGTGAATGAAGTGCCAAGGGGGCTCAATTATTAAAATACAAAATGACAAGAAATAAAACGTTCAATAGAATTAACAGCAAGCCAAATGTAAACTTCAATGAGAAGTAAATAGAACTGTGCAGATCCAACGAACCTTGCGAATCGATGTTATGCGAAACAAGTGGATGGAAGGTGACAGTGTTGTAATTTTTCATTCAGCGAAGCATTGCGATGTGGCACTAAATATATGTGCGAATGCACGCACAGAAATACGTTGAACAGCTGTATATGCTTTACATTAGCAAATGTTGAAGTTGCTTAACGATGCCAACAGCAATATGCATGCAACGCCACAAGCGGTAGCTGATATGAAGCGCTGGTGCTCGCGAGGACTGTAGCCCTCAATACTACTACACAAATCAACTTCAGCAGATGGGACCTAACTACAATTGACAATCCCCCGACATGACGGCTGTGTCTTAGGAGTATATATATAACATTTTTAAAAGCGTACAGCCAGTACTGCAACCACAGTGTGTATTTGAGGAATATTAGGATTTCTTTAAAGAGTCGTTCCGAGACCTGGCATGGCTCTGTGGTAGATTACTTGATTGCCTTGCAGAATACTACGGTTCGATTCCCGCTGGAACCATAACAATTTTTCTTTGCATTCTCAGGCCAATGCTGCCGATGTCAGCTTGTTCCTAACGCTCACGCGTTACAATTGCCCGTGTGTGATCTCGCTGTTCCTGGGTAGACAAAGTATCTACCGCCTGTAGCACGTATCCGCATTCCATTGTCATATGTATACCCATCCGCAGTAATGTACCGTAGTCTAGAGGAAAGTGTTTAATGATGTACTCAACGGGATTGTAACGTTAATCACGTTATGACCAACGCGTCGTATTCGTAGAACCATCTTAAACTTTCATATTACTTTTGACTTAATCCCAGTTAAGGGGGTGAACACGAGAGCACATGACGTCGGTGGCTAGATAGATAGATAGATAGATAGATAGATAGATAGATAGATAGATAGATAGATAAACTTTTTTTTACTTACTCTGCCCATACAGCTTCCCTGGAGCAGAATGCTGCGGAGGAGGTTAATGCCTTCGAATTTCCACTCCATCCATGTAAGTACCTGCAAAGGTCATCGTAAGTTAAGTATGAATGGGTTTATCTAGTCATACAATAGCGTAATGAAGCACTGAAGGGGGACCTTCTAAGTCTGCTTGTGCATATTTGCCCCACTACACACGTGTAATGTTTGTAATTATGGGATAACGTTCTGAGGTCCAGATTATTTCATTTAATTTTGTTGTTGGACATACCCCTAAGTACTCTGTTTTCAGTTCAGTCCTATAGGACACAGAAGTATTGTGCGCGACATATATACTTCTATCGAAATGCAGTCATCGTGGCCGGCGATTGAAGTTACCTCCTCCTACATAGCGGCGAAGCACCAGAGGCATTTACTCCACAGCAGATGTTCTGCCATTGTTTCTACAGTAATATGGTACTTTAACCAATGTTTAGGGAACAATATTGACGCAAGAACAACTGCATACAACAGCAGTTGGAACACGGCGGGAACGCCCCAAGTTCACTTGAAGTAACTGTCAATGTCAGTCTCCCTGAGAATATAGAAAAGGTTGAAAAGCTCCCTGAGCATCATCGCCTAATTGGAATTGCAGGCATGAAGACAAAAGGGCTAGAAAATGCAGGGCTGGTGCCAACTAACAACCTATTTGTAGGAAAAAGCATTGCGTCTTAGGTACTTTCAAGAGCATGGGCGAGTCACGTTGATAATCACTGTAACAGAGTGACAGACAACTTTCCGTTATCAATATTTGTCCAAAGTGATTAGTTCGTTGCAATATAAATTCACGAACAGCATGCTGACACACCGGACACCGTTTTTATTTAGGCATAAAGCCTCCAACACGTCACGGGCCACCCGTTTTTTACTTTTTTTGGGGGTCACTTTATATTCGGAAGAAACGGAGTGCACACGCACACGACGCTGCAGTGCAAAAAATAGTGTAATCCCGATACATCGTTGAGAGAAGCTTCATGTTCTATTTATGGGATATTTAAAAATCGACCAGTGTGGCGTGTTCTTGTTTCGTTGTGCATCCATTTTTAGTAGACTATGCACCAACCGTGTCCCAAGAACGCGTTTTAGCCACCGCACATCACAGTAGCAAATGTTCGACCGTAGAGGCGGCCAACCAAACTGCGATCCACTATAGGGAGAAGGCTGGAAAACAGCCCAGGCTTGGATAAGAGCACATGCAGGCGCGCATGTCCTAGATGGTTGTGGTTCCCCTTAGAACGGCTCATAGAGCGTTCTGATTCGGCAACATCAAGTACTTAAACTTGTAACATACGTCGAAGACTGGAAAGCGACAGATGTGTGGGCATCATCAGTTATAAATAAAGCAGAACAGGCATGTGCGACAAATCCCGTTTTTTCGTACATGCACAGTGAGACCTTTTTGGCCAATTTAGTTAACACCTTAGGTAGCATGCGAGGCTGTTTTTGCTGAGCGCTTCCCCGTGAGAAGATCACGTGCCCCATAACGTTGTCTGAAAAACAAAAAAAAAGTGATCCCCACTTGCCACTCAAGCTATAACACTCCCAAGTGTTCAGCTAACACAAAAGACCAAACAAAAATGTTGACGAGGAAGTCCCCCTCTATCGTAGCGCACTTCGCAGAATAACAGACACGTTATTCTAAAGCAGGGGGCTTGGATCCCACCGACACAAATGGTAATTTTTGTCCACGTGATATTTTTTATTTAGGTGGGAATCAATGCCATACAGTTCATAAACGACAAATATTATCCTCCATCATCTGTTGGTTTCATCAGTTTTGCATATTGGAGAAAGACAACCCCCAAGACAATTTTAGCACATTCGTACTGAATTTTATATTGCTCGTGCTTAGTACTTCTTTTTTTTTCTCTCTCTTGAGTACCACGGAAGTCACGGTATTGGCTTAATCATAGCTTTTTCTTTTACTTTTGCAACGTATTTTTTTACTATTTTATAGGGGAACTCGATACTTATGTTCTCGCTACATTGATCCACAGTTGCACCACCTGAAGTGTGTACCTACCCGGCCGACTCGGGACACTGCAAGGCGTACATGCCACGCTTCTTCTACAACACGGAGACGAAGAAATGCGAGCAGTTTATCTACGGAGGCTGCGGAGGCAACGCCAACAACTTCCTCACCTTCGATGCCTGCGAGAAGAAGTGCCTGAAGGTCTTTGGCGTCATTCCCCGCGCCTAAGAAAAAGGGAGCATGTCTATAGTGGAAGAGGATGTATTCGCGAGAAGTGCGACTGCAATAGCTCCACGAAAATAAAAGCGTCAATAGGTACCGGAATTATTGCATTGGACTGTCCTGAGCCACACGATTGTAACAATTGAAATGCACCTGGAAGTAATCCCTGCAAGTGATCTTGCCAGCTTGCAAGCTAAAGCACTGTCACTCTTGTAACAAAAGGCCCAAGCCTGGCTGTATTCATGCAACCGACATCAGATACAGTGAGTACGTGCATATTCTTAGCAATATATATACGTTTCGGACGCCTCTTATATACACTTCTGCCTATGTCTAATTTTCAAATCTGTACACACTTTAGCCGACCAGTCACTACGAGTCTGTGGGCCAATTCACCTGCCCTGGCAGTTAGTTCCATGCTGTTGTTGTTGTTGTTCGCCTATTGTTTGTGGCGCGTACCACTAAGGGGGATTGGCCAAGAATCGAGTGGTTTTAAAAATTACTGTTCAGGTTTGGAATAATTGAGGTATAACAAAAAGATTACCGATAGCCTCGGGAAGTGTGGTGCTTAATGTAATGCATACAAATATTTACATAAACGAATTTATTACTAGAACAGAGCAATAATCTGATTTTATACGCATATAACTATGTGGACATGTAGGATAACGAAACTGGTTAATTAGTTTTTTAGTCAACCTATTATTTTGATCAATATTGTCCCGGACGGCCGCGCATACTGTCGAATTTGTTAATATTGTCACTGGTGATGATAATAATCACAGCTGGGTCGCTCCACTCACGTGGCAAGGTTAACTTCGCTCGTCCGTTGGGTAGGTCAAATGGTGTGATGAATGGTGGGATCTTTCACTTCTGCGATTCCATAAGAAATCTCTTAAAAGGATCCGGCAACGCTTTTTCAGTATGGTGCATCGTCAGAAAGCTCTGGCGATCGCTAGTCGAGGCTCCTCAGAACATGCGAGCGAATTTTCATTGTGGAGCTCGCGGGCTATCTTTTTAATGATTTTAGTAAAGCGTTGCAGGTCAGAGCAACCCTTCAGGTTTTGAGAAGTTATGAATATATCATGGTTAGGCCTCTAGGACGTGCTTTTTAGGAAGGGAGGGGGAGACATTTGTAAGGTTATAGTAGACTTTGCCTACGTTGGCCGCTTGAAAAAACAATGATATAGAAAAACCTAAGGGAGCAAAAGATGACTTCTGGGCCTTGTCCCCTGGATGCCAAATTGAAAGCCGTCTAAACATGCCATCGATTACACTGACATCCAAAGGGTATTCTCTAATCTAATGTAAAATCAGTAGTCACATTACAACACAGATGTCAATTTCATTGAAAAGAGCGACACGCTACCGCGGGTGGGATGACGTGCTTATCACTCGAGGTGGTTTTCACCATATTTATCCTGTTTGAGAAATTGTTAACTATGGCTGGGTGAAACATATAAGTTATTACGCAATGCATACTTTTTTGGTGCAAAAATGCACAGCTTTGCCGCAAAGGCGAAGCAATTAACGTGATAGCAACAAATCGGAAGGTCACGTGAAAAATGGCTGGCCGATCAAAACGTGCCCCGCGTTTCTCGCAATACAAATGACGCGCAAAACATACTCACTGGCACAGATGAGCACGAGTAAGCGTCTCAGATGTTACTTCGTTGTGTCTGAAAAGCGCGCCCTTTGTGCAAACGGAGAGTGTACAGTGAGTACAGTGAGCTTTGCACGCCCGGTAACTACAACAGAATCGCTCCGGTGAAAGCCCAAGGCGTGCGATTCTCCCCACCCGAGATAAGCGCGCCAACACGTGAGCGTCCCCCTCCTCTCCCGGCTCTCCACGGGGCAAAGTACGCGTGGGACATGATAGTGCGCTTCTGCCGCATCGCGACGATCTGGCGACGCGCGTTCATTGCGCCATCTCTCTGGTAGGGCTGGAAACATGATAGTTCCCCTGAGGTGGCGATCGCCAGCGGTAAGTGGTATATATAAAAAGATTGCCGCTTCGTCATGTCGACATTGAAGGAAGTGCTCCTTTGTTGCTCAGTTGCTTGTGAGTGCGAGGCGTTATCCCAGTGAAGGAAGTGCTCCTTTGTGGCTCAGTGTATCCACTGAGCCACAAAGGAGCATTTCCTTCACTGGGATAACGCCTCGCACTCAGAAGAGGTCGGACGTTCGATTCCGTGCACAGAAGTAGAAGTATATATATATATATATATATATATATATATATATATATATATATATATATATATATATATATATATATATATATATATATATATATATATATATATATATATATATATATATATATATATATATATATATATATATATATATATATATATATATAGTGTAACAGCAAACATGGCCACCTAAAACATTGCAGTGAGGTTCTTTCTCATAAGCAGCTTCCAGCACTGGCGTATAGCTTGAAAATAGAAGTTGATGAGGACAGCGATCTGGGCTGGTTGTTGTAACATGATGATTAGTGGTAGCATAGGTTAATGACAAGGACAAAACAAAGGCACATTAAATACAGCCCAGCGCTAACTTTTAACAACTGCAGTTTATTACTCGCTGATCCTCCTATTATATGAACTGGCACGACTTCTACGTCGTAGAATATGCATGACTACCACAGAGTATGCCTGGCTTGGATTGCCACACGAGCCGCGATTTCTAACACCTCTGATTTTTTTTTCTCTTCCCGACATTGTTGCCGAAGCTTGCCTTCACTTTCTTCGACAACCGCTACATGACGCAATCACTTCATTTTTTTTCTTAGGTTGTCATCACCATCCCTACTTTCATAACACGTACTAATAACCAGTGACTCATATGGGACATGGTTTGGGGGGGGTGTGCCACACGTGAGCCGTGACTGAAAGGAGGGACGATAGTTATAGCGCGATAACAGAACGACGACAAAGGGGCAAGAAAGAGACGGTCGCTCGTCTCCTTTTTGTCCCTTTGTCGTCGTTCTGTTCTCGCGCTATAACTATCAACATTTCATACCAACTTGCCCAAACTGCCACACTTTTATGAAAGGAAGGGTTTCGAGGCGTATGTGAGAAGTATCGCGTTATTATTGTAATGACATGTTCGTCCTGTTTGTCATGCACTAATTCTCTTCCATACAAGTTCTGCTATGCGTGAAGTCAAGGAGACATCCACGAAAGTACCCATACGTAGACGTTTAGATAGACAGGTCAATACATGATATATATAGAAACGGTGAAAGTGCCTCTGGTACACTGAAAAATGCGTTACATCTAAAACCACAGTTGCAGTCTGGGTCAAATTCAAGCATTCAGCCTGACAATCAAATATTCTGCAGGTATTACAGAGCTTCAAACTACTGGGGATCCAATATCCCATACACAACAATGATGTCTGGGCAAGGCCAACAGCTGTGGGCGTTCTGCTTATCCGTATTTTCAGAAGTGCAGCAGTGCATCGACATGCATGGTATTGTCAAGAATTCCTCGTGTACGCCGACGACCACTGCTCGTATAATATGCTCATTTTAATCATTTATTTATTTATTCACCCTACAAAGTAGAGGGCGTAGGACAAAAAAATCTCTTGTGAGATAGACTGGGCTGCCCAGTCGATTGCAGTTTAGCAGCATGTAGGGATGGACTTCACTGTCGTACATAGGCGTAATCACAAAGAGAGCACACACTATTCTTGCATATTGTCAACAAAAGAACGCCATAGGTACGCGAGGTTCAGAAAGCGAGAAAAAGTGATTGAGAAAAGACAGTAGAACAAAGATAGACTTTGAACTGACATTTTAGATAGCAGTTCATGAATCAAGCATCAAGTGCGGCTTCTAAACAAGAAATATCAAAACCCTTCCTGCACTGCACATTATTTTAAAGTGACGGCAGTGGTCTAACGCTTGTGCCCACTTTTTTATTTTTTATTTGTTGATTCATACAATACAAAGAATCATCAGACTGCTTGGACCCGTAGCCAATGGCTAGTCCTGGTGTCACACCAGTCCCGTTAATTAGGGAGGTGATCGCCGGGCTAATTCCAAGGGCCGGAGTATCGGCCCCCCGAACCGCACCACGAAAGCGTGGACAATTTAGAAGCGGTCCTTTTTGGCACTCCAGCGGACGCCGGCTGTGGCCCAAAGAACAAGTCAGAGCCGAGAGTTGATAAACAACAAATTATATTCTCAAAATTGGCAGATCGAAAACAATACACGAGAATGCACACTCCACAATAGTTACATACAATACGTCACCAATCAAACCAATCAATCAACGTACTACACAATACAATCAGCCACACTTGAAACAACGGACACGGACAACAATACGCACTACAATGCAGTCGCATGCATTGAACAACCAAGACACTTAAAGACTAAAGAGATAGAAAACCTATTCAGTCCAAAGTTCTTGGAACCAAAGTCGAGATGATACTCTTCCGAGAATCACTCACTCAAAGTCCAGCGTTGTTGTCGTTCCGCAGCCCTCGAAGTTTCTCTTCCAGGAAACCTCCCGTCTTCAATTGGCCACTCTTCAAACTTCAACGTCTTCGCCGGAACACGTCGGCTTCACACCCGCAGCTGTTGCCACGGGTCTTCGCTCGATAGCGGTAAACACACGCTCTTGCCTGTAGCCCGAGCCTTCACCCTTCAGGTGGAAATCCTCTTCATCTCCGGCTTCGTCCCTACGGACCAAAACCTTCGCCGACTACACGGCGGAATCCCTACGCGCTCTGGCGTTAACTTCCGTCTCCTCCTGATCTCTCATCTCGGCTGCTCGGTTAAATACCTTGTGCGCGACATTCCAGACGGTTCTCCTCATTTCGTCGGCGCGATACGCAGCGAAAGCTGGGGAGAGGTGCGAGACGGTTCGACTGCCCTCCCCGGAGGATGATTCAACTCGGTATGACCCCGCCCCGTTCGTTTTAGAAAAATCGCGGGCTTGCTGGGCCGCCGATGCGGGGTGAGGAGGTTCGTCTGCGACGCCACGCTTCCGCGGGGAGAGCGCGCGCCCGGGAAGCCTTGGACGTTTACTTTCTCTTCTTTTTTTTCTTTTTCTTTTGACCTCGCGGCGTTTCTCCCGCCC